CAACCTAAAAATGTTCAACTCAATTTTACAAATTTTTGCTTCTCTTGATTTCTCCTCTTTTTAAAAATTTGTATTTAATATTTTTCTATAACATATAAATTTGAGTGTGCTAGTTTTTGGACCGTCATCGTACGTTGTTTTGTTAGATAAGCTCCAGATTTGGCTTAAGTGCTGACTAATCTATTGTATATGCACGAATATAACATTGTATAGTTTATTATGAAAAATATGAATTTAAAAGATAGCTTTGTGAGAGGTGTTTGCATATATGCTGAGCACTGTATTTATGAAAATAAGAAGACTAAATTTTGATATTAGGGTGCCTTCAAATAAATGCTGTGACTGCATGGAAAAAGCTTATATATTACATTGTAATTCAAAAGATTAGAAAAAATCTATTAAATTATAAACATGAGGCTCAGAAACTGAGTTACTTTATATTTTGTTACATTAAAACTATCTTCAAGACAACACTAGCTACAAACTACTATAATAACAGTGACCTTTTTTGAAAAACTGTGTGACTAGCTGTCTTCCCTGTCTCATTCTCTCGTATTTTTTAAATTAACTGCTAATTAATTAGTGTGTACATCGGATTGGTTAGCTCAGATGAATGAATTTTTAAATTTTTTCTGCTAATACATGATAAAGTGTGTCTGTTGGGTAACTATTGCTAGTGTTTCACACTACAATTGGTTTTATGACACTGAACAATATTAGTAACACAATAATAGTAATTTTACATTTAGTCGTTTAGCAGATGCTTTTGTTCAAAGTGACTTGCAGTACAATTAAGAAGGCATTCAGTGATTCAACAAGAAGAGGCAATACACACAAGAAGTGTGAATTATACAAAGGAAACTGTTTGTGCAAGCAAATGTAAAGCAAATGCTGCAATTTCCATATGATGTCCTTGGATCAAATGTGTTAGAGCGTTAAATGAGAATGACTAGATATACACTCACATTTTCGTTAATGAGCAATTGGACAATGTACCTAATAAAGTGGTACACCTGTCCAACTGCTCGTTAACGCAAATTTCTAATCAGCCAATCACATGGCAGCAACTCAATGCATTTAGACACATATGGTCAAGACAATCTGCTGCAGTTCAAATCATCAGAATGGGGAAGAAAGGTGATTTAAGTGACTTTAAACAAGGCATGGTTGTTGGTGCCAGACAGGCTGGTCTGAATATTTCAGAAACTGCTGATCTATGGGTATTTTTATGCACAACCACTTTTAGGGTTCACAAAGAATGGTCCGAAGAAGAGAAAATATCCTGTGAGCGGCAGTTCTGAGAGCGCAAATACCTTGTTGATGCCAAATGTAAGAGGAGAATGGCCAGACTGGTTCGAGCTGATAGGAAGGCAACAGTAACTCAAATAACCACTCGTTCCAACAGAGGTATGCAGAAGAGCATCTCTGAAAGCACAACATTATGCTATTTGTATTATGTACACCACTGCTGCAATAATACACATTCAAACCCTAAATTATTCACACCCTGGGCAAATTCTTCCTTAAAGATTTTGTTCAAAAGTTAAAGCTAATCAATCTGCTTCCCTACACACTAATTCCATGTCTGGTATCCTGATTTTGGCTCTTGAGTTCTGCCATCCTGTGATGCACAAAGTTCAGAACTGGTCTAAAAAGAGCCATATTTCTGAATTACACGCAACCACCTTAAAACAATAGTTCACACAAAAATGAAAACCACCTCATCATTTACTCTACCTCATGTGGTCTTAAACCTTTATGTTTCTTTCTTCTGTTAAACACAAATTATTTTATTTTGAAAAATGCTGGTTGATGGCACCCATTACTACTATTGTGCTTTGTTTCTATTCAGTGGTTGTAAAAATTTACAAAAAACTCATTATAACAGACTTAATAATGCACAAGGACAAAGAATGATATCCCATCTGGTCAAGAGTGGCACAAATAACTCAACACTTTAATGATTATTATGAGTGATATGTGTCACTACACATCACACCGCATTCTGGGGCAGACAATATACTGGGCTGACTGGTCAGAGCACCTATGATGACATCTGTCAACCATTGTTCAGTGAGCTCCATGCTTACTGACATGTATTTGATGGCACCAGGATGCACAAAATTAGTAGAGGAAGTGTGATGTTCTGTTTGGAAACTCTGGGTCTGATCATGTAAGTATAAATTTGACAAACGTAAACTACTGTATCTGCAGTAAGCTATGTTGCAGAGCCAGGTATACAGTACACCCATCAATGATAATGGTGATCCCTGGTGATGATAATACACCCTGTAATACTGTACACACTGTTCAGGAATGGTTTGAAGAACATGATAAAAAGTTAAAGTTGTTTGCTGGCCTGGCCTTAGAGCCAGATGTGCACGGGACACCCAGAAAGTCAGCATATATAGTTATATATATATATATATATATATATATATATATATATATATATATATACAGTTAAAGTCAGAATTATTATTATTTAACATTTTCAGGTGCACAATATTGTAGTTCTGTATATTTCTAATTAGATGTCACCTTGGTGAACATAAGACTTTTTATTTCTTTCAAAGAATTATATTGAATATTTTACACAGGACTGCCAGGGGACTCTTTAAAATCACAGATGTGTCTGTTAGTTAAGAAGGATAAACAGGATATAAGAAGAAGCGCATGACCAACTGACCTGTCTCTAATGAGATCATTAAAGCTGTCTTAAGCAGATTAAAGAGTAGTGGCATCAAGTATCAGAGATGACCTGTTGATTAAACCATTACTGGATTCAGTTAGTTTTCCTTCTCAAAGATACGTCAGAGCATACGGAAAATCACATTAAATGATGCAGAAAAGCAAGTTAGAGGAGATTAAAGCAGGTAAAGAGTTCAAATTGTACATTATGTAAGCACCCTGGAGTTCCATGTGCTGACATTAATAAATATATTAAAAATGAACAAATGGTTTGAAATGGTTATTACGATGTGTGTTCTTCTGTTTAGTTTAAAAATAAAAGTTATTTTATATTTTACATATCTTACCTTGATAGATCTGGAACACTTGGACAAAAAGAGTTGCTTGGGAATATCAATTTGTAGTTCACACACCTAAAAACATATTACATTAATACATGGAAATATCAAAAGAAGGTAAATTTACAAGAATAGATGGTGTTCATGGCTGCATTATGCCATGCTATAGCATTTAACAGATTTAAATGTATTAGCTGTTGACATTTAACAGTGGTGTTAAAGTGCCATCTGTTGGTTACTTAGAAGAAGTGAAAGTTTTCTATCTATCTATCTATCTATCTATCTATCTATCTATCTATCTATCTATCTATCTATCTATCTATCTATCTATCTATCTATCTATCTATCTGCCCTACAAACACACAGACACGTCTGTTTTGGGATGGTTTTTTTATCCATAAGGGGCTTATAAAGGGCTCACGTCGCGTGTAAATAAACAAAATAAGATACCAAAAATATTAATATCAAATGAGGCCTACCTATGCGTGTGTTTCTGGATTCTTGAGCGCATTTCTATGTATTGCTTGCATGATTAGATAGGATAGGATACTGTTTTCTGTCAGTAAAACTGTAAACACAAGATGATTAGCGAACTCACCTTCAAAGAGTGATTAATTAACCACATAACCTAGACCATATTTTCGTACATTTCATCATACACAACTCTAACTAGCGTTACGCTTTGGCTATCAGTTACTGCCGCGTTCACGAATTTTGTAAAGTTTCTTTGGTTATGTGGAAACAGTTTGACGACGCACACATTCTCATTGGCTGTAGTTCAATCATGAACGTCATCCTTGCGTAACCGACGAAGAAAAAAATTAACTGTCTATACGTGATAAAGTGCTATCAACTTTACTTTTACTGAATGAATATGTTCTTTTATTTATTTATTTTTTTATTTTTTTATTTTTTTCTATAATGAGAAGTTGGAAAATTGAGCTTACGTTAATAATCTTTTGATTATACTTACCAAGTTTTATATCTATCGTTGTAAGTTTAGCAGTCAGAAACCTCTTCAGTGGTACTCAAAGCAGAAATTTTTAATACTATTAAAGGGAGTACAAACAAAAAAAGCTCTGTATTTGTTTGACACGTTTAAGTTATTGTGAGTTAGTAAGGCTAGCATTATTTATAATATTTTTTTTATTTTCTTTAATTGTAATTTTATGTTGTTTGAGTTTTTGTACTTTTATATAACTTTAAATGATAAATAAAAAATATATACATATAAACAATATATATACATATGGGGAACTGTCTGGGTAGGTTACAAATGCAGAAATCATCTTCATTTATAGGAAAATTTTGAAAAGTAACTGTAGAATTATATAAAGAAATTCAATGAAGGTCAATGAAGGCCTTCTGCAACAGTGAATATCAGATTCTTGCCACTCACATGACATCTCTGTTCTTTATCAATCCTTAGTATACTACTAGCAAATCTGAGACTACCATCTGTGACTTAACCTTAGGCCTAATTTACTCCAACTACTTCTGTGTTTAGATTACTTTTTGGTCACATTTGACAGAAATTGCTTAATGATAATAATTACTAATAACTTGCTTTAATGCTTTTACGTTGATCCATTTGAATAATTTTACCTTGTATTATTAAGCATAGCTTGCTATTTAATTTAGAATTAATTTAGATTAATTTATGCCAAACAACACATTTTAGAGAGAGAAATTAAAAATAATCATATTTTGAATTACTAGTTAGCACTGTCGCATCACAGCAAGATGGTTGCTGGTTCAGTTGGCGGTTCATTGTGGCGACCCCTGATGAATAAAGAGAGTAAGCTGAAGGAAAATTAAAGAATGAATGTTGTGAACAATATACCCTATAACCATGCATCATTAGAAAGTTACTGTAAACTGATAACATTTTGAAATGCAATGACATAAATGCAATTGCAATTTTATTTGGACTACCCAGCATAGGGAACAAGTAAACAAATAACAAATGACCGTAATTGCAATAAATAGTTTATTCTGACCAGAAAAATAGACAAGAAATACGTGAATAGTACTGTACACACATTCTTACATATACTCTTGACATATATAATCAGTTTTATTCACCGGGTTACCCTCAACCCCCATTTCATCCAAAAATACCATACACTGAAAATAGAGGACATTTTTTTAGACTCAAAATATTTGAGTTTTCAGAGAACACCGACCTCACTGACAAAATATACATTCATATGAAGCGAATAAGCCTGATGTGAATGAAGACACGAAAGGTTTTTATTCACAAAGCTGATATTTAGATGGACGCCTCTTTAAAATGTCCATTTGCTTATGATAACCTGGACTTGACGAAGCACCAAAATTCCATAAACAGCCACAAAACCATGACTGCTACAGAAACCACCATACTGAGAGAGCTAAAACAAGGTCCTTCCTTCTTCAGTCTTCCTGCTAAAGCACTTCCTTCTAGTTCATGAGGTCTTTGTGTGATTTTACTTCACTTATGAAAGGCTCCATGTGATGAAGGTGGAAAGCAGCGAGTTTCAGATATGACAGGCTGATCATCAACCTATCAATGAGACATTTGGAGCTTAAACTGTGCTTGGATACTCATAAGCTGAGGCCAGGAGATCTGGCTGTAAACCTTCAAAGTTATATACTGTATCAGGGATGATTCAAGCAAATAAAGAGTTTTCTGGAGTCAAATCGTAAAAGGAACATTTTAGTTGTTTTACTCAGTAAAGTTTATTTATAAACTTATTTCGAGAGGATCACATGTTAATGATTGCTTCCAGCTGGTCCCGCATTATCCAATTTATGACTCACCAATCAGACGACTCCTAAGCCACTATAAATACCCTAAGTTCCATATAACAGCCATCTTCTGTTCATTATCTTCAGCCTACTCCGTTTCCCTTCCTAGATGAGTTGCATGGTGCACAGTGGTTAGCACTGTTTCCTCGCAAGAAGAACGTCACTGGTTCTAGTCCTTACCAAGCCAGCTGACGTTTCTCTACGAAGTTTGCATGTTCTCCCCATCCTTATATGGGTTCCCTGTTTTCCTCCCACCATCCAAAAACATTCAATTTAAGTTAATTGACTAATCCAAATTGGCACTATAGACATGCTCCTATTAAATAGTTATCTCTTAAGAGCAATCACTATGTGTTCATTAGCTACTTCAGCAGGGGAGTTCTTGATCGACCTGAGCTCAAACTCCCCTCTCGCCTTGCAAATGGGAGGGAGCCCCAGGCTCGAGGATCTTATGAGCTCAGGGCTCTCTCCAGGGACGGCATACCAAACAAGCATTATAATCAATCATCAGCTAAGTGTGAACTCCTGAAAGAATTGTAAGTCGATTTTGGAGCAGATTGAGTAAATTACGGTTATGACTGCTCAGGTAATCAAAAACAAAGCTGATGTCGCTAAATAGTTTAGTGCAATTGTCATCAAAATGATATGTGCTGGTGCTTCAGAATGAACTTTAGAGTGAACTTTTCACATGGGAAAAACTGATGCAGAAACTGATCTCTGCAGCTGATCTACAGTAAGTTTGGTTCACTTTTAACCTGCACTGTGAAAAAAACAATGCACCATGTGCCAACATTTTCTCAAACATGTAATGAGAAGCAGGCTGTTGTCAACTAAACAAAAATATCCTGCAGCTGATGGATTGAGAATAAAAAAAAGAAAAAAAAAAGTGCTTTATTGTTACTGTTGTACTGGTGGTGGATGAGGAGAATCCCCCCAAAATGTGTTGGAATTATTATTAGTACTATTATAAGTAAAATGTACTATTATTGTCTCAAATAGAATGTTTTTTATTTTATGGCATTGTTAAAATACCATTGAAACATTTATTTTTTTGTTTAATATTGATTAAGCAGTAATAATAGTTATTATTTTATGTATAGTGATAAATGATAACATTTTAAGCCAAACTGTGCAGCCTTACAAAGCACAGAAATCCTGGAGCTTAAAAATAATTAATTGCTTTTTGAATCACAATTTAACAAGATTTATTTCTTTAAATAGTGCTACCTGAAGCTTAAAGAAAAACAATCTCATTTGGGGGGGAAAAGCAATTTGATGCAGGCATTATATGAACCTCCATCCAGTGAAGAACAATATTATCTCAAGTTACCACAAGATGGTGCTGCTCTCCACTCAATATTTCACGTTGGATTGATACATTCACTTCGAAACTGAGGCAGATAAAGAGGAATGCTGTGAGACATGTTATTGGAATTGCTGGCTGTGGAATTTTGGCTTTCCAGTAGAGGCCTGGGGTTTACACCCATCACTCTTTTATTCTTACTTTGACCCTCCTCTGGTTCGTCTTCTTCTTCTTCTTCTTCTTCTTCTTCTTCTTCTTCTTCTTTCTCCTCTCCGGTCATCTCGAGGTAATAGAGGTCTTTAGCTAAACCTGTGTTTTCCGAAGCTTCATAATCAGGTTCTGATGTTTCCGAAAACTCCTCCACAGAGTTGTAGGAGCTGGAATGGCGAGGATTGCTGTTCTCCAAGTCCCAAAGTCCTCCAGGGAAGGAGCCGGAAATGTCCGAGTTGTTGGCAGAGAAGTTGCCTTCGTCACTGGAGCTGCTGAGACTCTCCTGCTGCTTTTGGAGTTGGCTGGGCTGGTCGGAGAGGAGGATGGTGGAGTACGTGACTGAAGACTGGCCTGATGTTTCTGGAGTGGGAGCAGCAGTAGATGCTTCCAGAGCTTCAGAAGAGTCTCCCTGAAGGCCAGAGTCTGTGGTTGTCTTGTCCCCGGAGGGAAGTTCTTCATTGTCTTTTACGTTTTCAATGGTAAGAGGATGAGGTTTCTCGATGATTTCAACCTCACAGATGCTCTCGGAGACAAGCAGCAATGGACAGGCAGTGAGACCCTCTGAATGAGGGAACAGGCTCTCCATGGTGTCAATCTGCAAGGGACCAGAAACATGTGATGATCCATTTTTGAACGGTTTCATGAACCATTTTGAGTCCCTGGCTTTTTAGTTCATTGTGATTAGCTATATTTTCCTTCAAATGTGCAATGTAAGCTTGTGCACAAACTGGAATATGTCATAAAACATTTGCAAATAAAGCACAGTTTGCATTTATTGAGTCACAGAGAACAAAATCAGCACTTCCTGGTAGAACTGGTAATAAATATCAAAAAGAAAAATTTGCTGCAGTAGAAGCCACCTCAGAAGATAGACAACACAATGAGTATACAGTGGCTTTTAGATGCGTGAGACCACTCTTTGGGAGTGTAGCAACTTGAAGTTCTGAGAAGTACACTGTAAAACCCAACAGTCAACTTTATCCAATGAAATGAGTGTAGTTAACTCAAAATTGACTGAAAGTTAATTCTACAAACTTCAAAAACGTTTAGAGTTGCGTGTTGAATGTTATGAGTTAATTCAATACTTCATTACTTCAACTTAAATGGAGTTAGTTCACAGCACATATATAGATTTGTTTTTTAACTCAAACGGTTTGAATTGCTTAACTCACTGGCTTTTAAAGTACTCAGTTGGTTTGAGTTCTCTTCTTTTAATGGGTTTTACTGTGCTCAAATTGCTTTGTTTACTTAACTGGATTAGGATCACAGTACTCATTAAGATTAGTTTTTGAACTTAAATCGTTTGTTGCAATCGATTTCCTCTAATGGTTTGAGTTACCTTAATTTTGGGTTTTACAGTGTACTAATACCAAACCACTTTAATGACAGATTTTGGCTGAGGGTTTTTAGAATGGACAAAACAACACTCCAGATGCTGTGCAAAGTGGTCAGTTTGCTGGTTTGTCCAATTATATCATCGCATTGTGTCTGACTTTTTTGGAAAGTATTTACATTAAAGTATGTACATTTAATAAATGTGTTTCCATTGTAGTTTATGCACATATTTGTTTCTTATCACATTAAAAACTTAGCAGCAATAGCCTGATGTTTAAGTACATTGACATTTAACACAGAGGTGCTCATGGTGACCCGAGTTTGATTCCCAGCTTAAGGTCATTTGCTGATCCTTTCCTTCTTATTGTCTCTGGTCTATACTCTCCATTGTCTTGTCAAATAAAAAGGTGAAAACCCCCTAAAAATAACTGTAAAAAAAGTTTATCTTAAGTTTTTATGCACATTTTCAAAAATGTATGCATATCTTGGCATCTCCATCAAGGTGGATGAAATCGTGACAATTTATGCATATTTAAAGGTGCAGTATGTAAGTTTGACACCCAGGGTTGAACAGGCTATGGCATTCTTGGATCAAAACAAATGCAAGCACAGGTCACCAGATTGAGGACAGACAAGGCTGATTTAAATGTGCCTTATTCAGTGTTAAATGCTAATAATGTGAGTTTGAGCGCCATTTTACATTAAATTAATTGCCATATACTGAAAGCAGCAACAATAAACGATTTGAAATTAAACTTTAAATCTGTAAAATAATGCAAACCAACACATATAAGTGATTCAGCATCTACATTTAATAATGTTAAAGAGGGTTAATATGAATTAATTAGATTACCATTTAGTGAGTGCATATTCTGTGCTTCTGAATGGCTGTATTTAAATTTCTGTCATGTTTCGTCTGGTGCAAACAGCCAAATTGTTCATCGCTGTAAATCTCGTCAAGTAGCATGTTAAGTCCTGAAATTACAATGTAATTTCTGTCCACTGGAGGTCGCATTTCTAAATGACTGAATGAAATATGCAGTTTTCCGAGGTAATTGGTTAAACTGGTATTGTGCAGGTGAAAAGAGCCAAAACAAAGACAGCGTTCAGGCATGGAAAACACATTTTCAGAGCAGATTATCTGACTTCAGCATTGCTTGTAGATAAACAAGAATGCTCACTTAGAATGTTTCTTAAATATCTGCAAACATAGTATGGTATTTTCTAAGAGTCAAATACTTACATACAGCACCTTTAAGCATATATTTTCTAAATGACAATTTTCACCTAAATTACAGGGGGTAAAATGACTTCAGAAAGATAATATTATCAGGGAACCAGGTAAGCAAAACACAAATCATCAACACTTTATGCAGTGTGAATTTTATTTACAGTACATACACACTCTAAAATTTGCAGTGCATACTATTACTTGCTGTTAACCTTTACAAAAAAGTGTTTGTTTTTAAAACTGATATTTTTATGGTCATACATGAGCTAAGATACAACATGCAAGGTGATCACCCAACCAGGTAAAAAACAATAATCTTTTGTCTCTTGAATCTAGTATGTTTCTATAACAGTAGGTCACACTAACCTGCCTGAAGTCCATTCCTTTGGCCCAAGAGCACTTGTTGGGATTTGGAACATCCTTCCACATGAGTTTTTTCATCCTGTAAGATTATGGATTATATGAAAATTAATTTCAGCAGAACTGTACTGTGATAAATGCATATTTTTTATTGTACATATTTAATTATTTAACTTTCTACACTACTCCTTTTATTAAGCTTTTGTACACATATCTTTGTGGTGATATTACCAGAGTGTCTGGTCTAGTCTTGTCAGAAAAGTAGTATTATGTTTGTGTTAGTTGCCATACACTTGTAGTTGTCTATGTTAGAGCTTGTGAAATATTTACCCTCAAGCAAATTACTGCATTGTAATTCACTTTTCTTATACATTTATATCCCACTGTAATCTCATGTATGTATTTCTCATCAATATTCTGTCTTTTAAATATTGCATATGATACAACTTACAATGCCTTGCTTTAATTCTAACAAAATCAATATATACTATAGCATCAAACAAACGTCTTAAATCTCTCTCAATGTGTTTATCTTCTAGCTTAAAGGTGATCTAGATAAACTGACTTGACTGTTTTCTAAGAAATTTTGTCGGGGCAAATTTTATTCAGCCTCGGTTTTATTCTCTGTTTATCTACTGGTAAATAAAGAGACAGTGGACGTTCAGTCATGTGTATAAAACTGTCTCATTTAGTGTCTGAGCTCAAATAACCTGTATGAGCATTCATGCATTTACAAACTTTGTTATGGTAGTCAATTTGCAAAAAGCAATTTAAATGCTTATCAGTGATTTATGAAGTCATATTCTTGCACCTTATAATTCAGCCTGATATCAATTAAATAATTGAGCATAACATTACACTCATAAATACAACTATAATGAAAGCTACCAATGACTAGGGCCAGACAGAATCTGCTGACATTTTTTGCTATTTCTGAACAGAAATTTGTAAAAAAAAAAAAAAAATCTGTGAATATATGTGGAATGATACCTTTGTAACTTTTATTTGCAAATTCAGTTAGATTCACTTATTTGGTAAACAAAAGAAGTCTCTCATATAATTTATCAACTAAAAGACAAAAAACAGATCTTTATTTACACACATTTACAGTCAAATAGAGTAGTAATAAAACAGAATCAAAAAGAAGTTAATAAACAGAATCAATGTTTGGCTAAAAATCTGCAGGATTCTGTGTGCTCAGATTCCGTTAGGACCTACCAATGACTTTTGGTTTAATTGTCATTTTAAAGGATTAGTTTAACCAAAAAATTGAAAATAATTTTATTAATTACTCACATGTTCCAATCCCCTTACAACTTGATTTTGATTCAATCCAAAAGCTCTATGACCCTCCAATGATCCTGAGATGTTTTAAACCCAGAGAAAGAACAAAAAATCATTCCATGTGGTGTTTTTTTTTTTTTGCAGTTGTTGGGGGGTTTTTTTGTGCGCAAAAGTGTTCTTGGAGCTTCGGTTGGTTATAGTTGAACCATAGTTTTTGGTTCCTTTTCTGGACTTAGAAGGTCTTGTGACCCTTGCTGTCTATGAAGGGTCAAATAGCTCTCAGATTTAAAATACCTAAATATCTTAAAATGTCTTTCATCTTTAGAACAAGGTCTCAAAGGATCAGAAAAACACAAATGTGAGTAAATAGTAAACAACTTTCATTATTTGAACTAATCCTTTAATTCTATACATCAAAATCAAGTGAAACAATTGCCAGATCCCTAAGATTCAAAATTTGTTGCTGTGAATATCGTAATCTTGGCCAATAGAAGAAAGTTTTAGGTCTTACTGGTTCTGTGACATCATCAGTGTGACAAACAGCACCACTGACAGGAAGGCGATGATCAGTAGCAGTATATACGCTGCAGGATCACCCCTTGTAGCTGACAAAATGACAAAACAAAAACAGGTAAAAACACATTTACTCAAATCAATCTGATTTTTTTTACATTTTCATTGGATAATCATACATAATAATTTTAGAACAGTGTTTTCTAACCCTGATCCTGGAGGGACACCAACAGTACATATTGTGGATGACTCTATCTGACCCATTCATTTCAGATATTTGAGTCTCTTCTAATGTTCTGATGAGTTGATTCAGGTGTGTTTGATTAGGGAGATGTTGAAAATGTATGTATGTTGGTGTGCCTTTAGGAACAAAGTTGGGAAACACTATTTTAGGGCACTATTAAATTAAATGAAAAACTCATCCTTAAGATAATTATCCAATCAATGCACATAAACCACTTTTCTATGGACCAAATATACATAAAAAGGACTTTACTGTGTGAAAAATGATGATGTCAATGCTTTAATTGATGTCACTGTGGTACAACCCACCTGTGTATCGAGCCGGTTCCCCTTCACCATCCGCAAACACTGGATACAAGGTGAACTCCTCTGAGCCATAAAAACGACCTGCATAAAAACAAATTATATTGTCAAAGACGAGAGGACTTTCTTTTCTTTCAGGATGCTTAGCACGTGCTGATATGACAAAATGAGTAATATAAAGTAAATAACATACGGCAAAGAGAAAGATCTCTCGATCTGGACTCAACCCTGACCCACTGTATTCTTTCTGTGAGAGACACATCCTTTTCGGGGTCTTTGTTCAGGTCTAACCATTCAATAACAAATGACTGAGGCACCGGCTGATCAGATAACAGGCTCCAGGAGAGGTGCACACAGCTCACATTTGCAACTGCACTGAACGAACGCACACATCGCCCTAAAAAAACAAAAGAGGGACATTATTAATTCAAATAAAAAAACAAATCTTTATCATTTATATTTGAAAAACACTTAGGGCCCCATCATACATCAGGTGCAATAAGGTGCAAGACATGTTTGGTGAAAATTGTTGCTGTTTTCAGACCAGCACAACTCATTCATGTTTTGCACCACGTTGTTTAAATAGTGGACTCATGGGTGTGCCGGTGTAGAAAGGAGGTGTGTTAAGGCACATTGTTGCCGCTTTGCTTTTTTGAGGAATTGAAATAGACCTGACTAACTGAAAGCAGCAAGTCTAAAGTCCAGCGCAGAGTGCGTTAGTTGTGCGCCTATGCGAGTCTTAACACTTACATATTGCTTAATACACACAAAAGGATTGAAATTATTATTTTCTACATACATATAAAAACCACTGCCTCCATGCCTTCTTCATCTCGGGGGCTTTTTTCAGTTTATTCATGACAATTAGCATTTTTATTATGTTATTATTATTAGCAGCGTTTTTTATTATATTAGATTAGATTCAACTTTATTGACATTTCACATGTACAAGTACAAGGCAACAAAATGCAGTTTAGGTCTAACCAGTAGTGCAATAGCAGCAAGTGCAGGATACAGGTATAAGTTATAAAGTGCAGTTATAGAAAAACTATGGTGATATTTACAGATGAATGTACTACGAACATTATATACAGGTTGTTTTAGCTATGAACAGAGATTTACAATAACTGAATATATGTACAGGTTGATATTAATAATCAGAAGTGTGCAGATAGATAAACATAATTACAAATGTATATGTACAGTGGGTGTGTACATAATTACAAATGTACATGTGCAGTGGGTGTGTACAGATCAAATAAATGAATCAGTGCAATGAAACTGTGAACACTTAAAGTTATGATTGTTCATTTATTTGTTTGCAGGAAATTAGAACTAAATTTTGAAACAAATCTTTGCGCTTAACAAACTAAATTAAATATGTAGGCTAATGGATGTCTTCGGTGAAGTGCGTAAAACACCGTTTCCTTACTTCATGAAAGTAAAGGAGTAAAGAGTAAAAGTCAAGTAAAGAAAAAGTAAATAGGCCGAATGGAGGAGGCTCGTTCTTTATCCTTGAACTGCCGATAGTCTGTAAAACTGTTTTCTCACTAGTGAAGCATTCAGTTTTTCAACTTACAAAGTCTGCCATAAAAATAGCAAATGCACCACACCCTTAATGCGTCTGCGGCATGTGCTTTAGACTTTGCACCTAGATCGTTAAAAAAGAGCCCTTAGGGCAGGGGTGTCCAAACACATTCCTGGAGGGCCGGTGTCCTGGAGAGTTCCAACTTGCTTTAACACACCTGCCGGGAAGTTTCTAGTATATCTAGTAAGAACTTGATTAGCTGGTTCAGGTGTGTTTGATTAGGGTTGGAGAAAAACTCTTCAATACACCGGCCCTCCAAGATCGACTAGGACACCCCTGTCTTAGGGTGTAAGAACTCCAAATAACAAGTAGAAACAAAGCATTACCTTTCTTCATAATCTAAATATGAAATAACAAATAATTTTAGTACTATTTGATACTATTAAAATTTGTGCCAATTTTTCCCAACCCTAAGCTTCAATCATAAAACACAGTCAGCAGGCAGAAAAATAAGCCAAACAAAACTGTTTTCTTCAAATAAAAACACCAGAAATCCTGTGTGATGTTACAGCATCAGCATGTCAGCTCACGTTTGGCTTGACGTAAGAGCGTGATGTTTCTGTTCCATGTGGAAATGCCCAAAGCGTTGCGAGACATCACAGTGACTGTATGCGCTTCCTTCCTCCACTGGAATGAGTGAAACCGAGCCAAGGTTGTTTCATTTGACCACATGACTCCACCTGAGGCCTGGTGTTTAATCACTAAACCCTCCACGCAGCTATTTGGATCTCCTGCTAGAATGGGCTGCTAAAAAATGAAAAAGAAAAAAAAACATTCAAGCTCAGACTTTTTACATCACATTACATTGCTGGCAGAAGAAGCCAATCAAGTAAGTCTTCAACAACCTTAAAGATCAGTGTAACGTTTGTCACATTCCTAGTAGGATCCTCTTGTAAAATGCGCCAGAAGTCTGGTCCCATCTCTGGTGCTGAAATGACACACCATATAATCCTGAGTACTTCCAGCACACTACAGTTTGTACATTAAATGTTTTAAAGGGTTTATTGTAGTTACTGATTTGACATGTAAATATGGTCCTTTTTAACAGAGATCATGATGTCTTGTTGCATATCAGTTTTGTTTTTTACATTTTCAATTTGCGTGCATAGAGGAGATAAAAGAGACAATTGATTACTAAGGCAGTAAAAAGGAGAAATAGAGAGGAATAGAAATATAGGGATTGGATTGGATTGGATTATTTAAGATTGGATTTAAATATCAATGAATATGCATTCATGTTATGTTGTTTAGTTTAGTTTTTAGTTTAGTGTAGTTTTTTGTTTTAATTAAGGGAATTTTTTTTGGTTGAGTTTTTATTTTATTTACTTTTTGTTTTAGTTTAGTTATTTTGTCTACTTTTTGTTAAATTTGGGGGTTACTTTAGTCTAGTTTTACTTTAGTTTTTAGTTTAATTTGAGTATTTAAAGTGTGTTTTCTTTTCAGTTTAGTCCCTGTATTAATCAGGGGTCACCACAGTGGAATGAACCGCCTAAAGTGTGTTTTACTTTAGTCAAATTTGTTTAGTTGTTTAGTTTTCTGGTTTGTTTTAGTTTAGTTTATCTGTTAGTTTATTTTTTCCTGTTTGTTTTATTTAGGAAGGGTGTTTAGCTTAGCTTACTTTATCTTAGTTTTAGTTTTGTGCTCACAAAAGTTGAATGTATTTGATTAAAATGTGCAACTGATGGTCATTTTTGAGGATTCTCCTATAATAAATACATTTTAAAAAGCATAATTATGAAACTTAATTATCAAATGAATTACAATCCACATACAGTACATGCTAAATATAAATGAATTAAACTTTAAAAATTAAATTTAATATCTAATGTCATATTTAATAAACTTTTAATTTCATTTGACCACCTTCAAAGATTTATAAAATATTTTAAATAAAAATAACATATGTCATATTTAATAAGATATCATTCAGGAAGCAGATTTTTAGTCCTATTTTTAAAAAGTACAGTCACAAAAAGAGAAAACTTGACAGAAGGTAGAAAAATGGGATTGGAAAACCACAAGTCACAACTTGCACTGGATTGTTTGAATTTCTGTAGAAATGCATTGAATTCTGGGGTGCTATCCAAATAATTCATTCATTCATTTTGTTTTTGACTTAGTCCCTTTATTAATCAGGGGTCGGAATAAACCACCAACTTATCCGGTATATGTTTTACAAAGAGAATGCCCTTCCAGTGGAAAACACCCATACACACTCTCACACACATACACTACAGCTAATTTAGTTTATCTGATTAACCTATAGCGTCTGTAGACTCTGGGGGAAACTGGAGCACCCGGAGGAAACTCAGGCCAATACAGAAAAAACATGTATTAACATGTAACATAGAAACGCCAACTGACCCAGCCGGGGCTGGATTCAGCGACCTTCATGCTGTGAGGCGATTGTGCTACCCACTACGTCACCATGACACCCTATCCACAATCTTATGACCTAATTTTTGCTTTTGCTAAGAAAACTTATCATATGAAGAATATATCTCCATTGTCTATCATTAGCAAATTTCAGACTACAAACCTCTAGTTATGTGTTCACTTAACTTAGAAATGAGGAGTGTCAGATTCCTAAACCCCGTACTTACTGTAACAGACAAGAATGACTGATAATATCTTGAAATGCTGAAGGCAATTCTCCTGGTAATAGTTGCTTATGAAAAAATGTCTCGGCATGAGATATGCCACCATGACACACCTCTGCACCAACATAAAGATTTTAGAAAGGTGCTGTAAGAGTTGATAAATGGAGTTTCAGGCACGTATTGATTTTCACACTGGCAACTGTGTTCCAGTTCAGGAAGTCAACATGTTATGCAATATACATTAATCTTAATGAACTTCCTATCATAATTCAATTCGATTAAAAATACTCTCTACAACACAAAGCCAATTTCTTTTCAGAGCTATTTAAATGATTACAGTCAGTGTGACAAATTAAACCATGCTGCTCCAGAAGCAATTATTTGAATAAATTTAGCATCCAGAAACTCAATGCTTGATTCTGCTTATTTAATATAATGTAATTGGTTACATTTTTACAATAATGGTCAGTTAATATTAGTTAATGTATTTATTAACTAACCAACCATTTCCTAATCATAATTCAAGATTTATTTTATATTAACAGTGCACAGTGAATACCATTTAACTTAACATCAACTAATGTAAAGTTGGCATGGATTCAAAATTCATTCATTCATTCAATTTCAACTTAGTTCCTTTATTAATCCGGGGTCGCCACAGCGGAATAAGCCACCAACTTATCCAGCACATGTTCTACGCAGCAGATGCCCTTCCAGCTGCAACCCATCTCTGGGAAACATTTACACACACTCATTCAAACTCATACTCTACATACAATTTAGCCTACCCAATTCACCTGTACCGCATGTCTTTGAACTGTGGGGGGAAACCAGAGCACCCGGAGGAAACCCATGCGAACGCAGGGAGAACATGCAAACTCCACACAGAAACGTCAACTGACCCAGCCCAGGCTCAAACCAGCGGCCTTCTTGCTGTGAGGCGACAGCATTACCTACTGCATCACTGCATTGCCGGATTAAAAGTTAATCTCCTCTTAATTTTATATGTATATACAGTATGCTTTTCATAAACAATTTTATAAACAATATAAACATTTTATTTATCTCCATAATGTTTTATCAAATACCATAACCTTCACTTTTTCCCTCGAAACAACTTTTCTTTACTTCTGTTCACATAAAATGCCTTTCAGGTCCGGATATTAGTGTGTCTTGCTTTTGACTATTAATCAATCTTTCAACTGTCCAATCAGTTCCCAACTGACAAAATAATGCACTGCCTTCTCATTTCAAGACCATTTCATTTGGACGTATGTCACAATTTTAGAAAAGGAACAAGCTTAACTTCCATTTCATTGCTTTTCAAGATGAATATATACTGTAATAAATGTATTATGAATTATTTGGTCATGTTAGCAAATACATTAACTATCATTAACTAAAGGACAAATTTAAAAAAATGCTACCATGAAATGTAGATTGTTAAAATACTTTTTGCATGTTTCTTGTTTTTATCATTCTAAATGCCATGATATATACATGATATATATATAATGTCATCAGCCCTCTACAACCTCCTAAACATTATATGTTTTCTTCATTTATATGATATTCTCACAAAAAAGTTATTCATTATAACTTATACAAACAGATGGCTATTCTGAAACAGGTCTGAATCACATTTGCATTTAAGGCCAAGATGAACTGTTTTATACTATTAAATCATGACTTACAGTAAATATACTAGGGTATCAATTGTTAAATAAACAATGTCATACCTAGAGGTTTTGTCTTGTTTCTAGTCCCAATATCTAAATATTATTTTGCTTATCCCCAGGCAAAACATTAAACGAAAATAGATTTTTACATATTACTAATCAAAAATTAAGTTTTGATATACTTATAGAAACTTACTTTATTTTTATGGAAAATGATTTTTACTTGGAATATTCTAATCATTTTGGGCATAAATAAAAATCTATCATTTTGACTCCATGTATTTTGGGCTATTCTCAAAAATACCTCAGTGCAACATAGGCATTTTTGTGGTCCAGGGTCACATTTACAAAATCAACTGTAATGATAAAACTAACACAGTAGTCAGTCCGAAAATGGTGGATTTGATAACAAGTCGTTGCTCATTAAATGGTTTATGACTAACCAGAGAAACAATGAACAATCTAAATCGTTTGAAAATTAATATCATAGAAAAACAATATCTGCTATTTTGAAACCAGAATGACCTTTAGGTGTGATTACCAAATAAATTGCAGGGCACAATATAAGAATTCTGCTATATAACTAATAGTAGCATAACTTTACTGTAAAATTTACCTTTCAAGTTGAAAACAGTGGAAATGTGACTATTGCTCCAGTCGCTCCAGTATCCAGTGTCGTTCACGTCTTTACAGCGAACTTCTACTTTAAAGTGAACACAGGACTCCTCAAGCTGAATCTCTGCCTGTGGTTCCAATAGAGGACCAATGACCTGTAGATGACATATAACACTCATCTGTAAATGCCAGAGAAAATTACAGATGCTATCTCCGAGTGCAACCAGATTTCTACTGATAAAAGTTCTAATTTTAGTAAGCGAAGTAAGGATAATACTGTTTTTAATTTAGGATCAAATTTCAGTTTCAAATATTTCAATTATACCTCTGAAAAGATCAGACCGCAGAATTTTATTGCTTGCCTTCTTTGATTGAGCACTTTTCATGAAGAATTTACTCCGGTATATTTTATTAATCTTTCTGGTTTCTTTGTCCACCTGGGACCCCAGCTTACGAAAACATATTATTACCTTCCATTGCGTATTTGCCATTCCAGCCAAAGCCTTGAATTGCAGCTCGTACTGCATGCCGTATACAGGCAAAGAGGGGCGTTTCCACCTTACACTCAGGGTTTTACTCGGCAGAGTGATTGCCTCCAGATCAAAGGGAGGTGACGGTTTCACTGGAAATGTAGAAATCAAGTGAAAATTATTAGTCACGGTTAACAAGAAATTAAAAGCATTTCATAGGTATCAAAATAAACAATTCTTTACCATTTATTTTAGATAAATTAATAATTATATCCAGGAAAGATGCATTGCATTACTTAAAAATGATAGTGAACTTCCTATTTATTAAAGAAATACATCTACAAAAATATTATGCAGCATGAATTCTGAAGGATCATGTGAAACTGAATATTAACAATACATAATACTTTCATAAGCACTAATTAATTTGAGCAACAGTTTTTATTTGTAGGTATATTTCATTCTCCTAATATACAGTTGAAGTCAGAATTATTAGCCCCCCTGAATTATTATCGCCCCTGTTTATTTTTTTCCCCAATTTCTGTTTAATAACTTAACTAGGTTAATAAGGTCAACTAGGAAGGTTAGGGTAATTAGTAATAAGTAATAAGTAATAAGTAATAAGTAATTGGTAATAAGCTATTCTATAACGATGGTTTGTTCTGTAGACTACCGAAAAAAAAATTGTTTAAAGGGGCTATTATTTTTGTCCCAAAAATTGTTTTAAAAAAATTAATAACTGCTTTTATTGTAGACGAAATAAAACAAATAAGACTTTCTCCAGAAGAAAAAATATTATCAGACATACTGTGAAAACGCCCTTGCTCTGTTAAACATCATGTGGAAAATATTTGAAAAAGAACAAAAAATCAAAAGGGGGCTAATAATTCTGACTTTAACTGTATGTGTATATATATATATATAAGAATATAAGAGTTAATACAAACATCTGAAATTGACACATTGGCATATGCAATAGAATTTTCAGTATTGAATTTATCCTAATTTCCAGTCAGCAATTCAGTCTGTAATCAAAGTCAAAATTAACATCTTAACTTTTTTCAGAATAAACTTTGTAGCTCACCATAGTCAATAGGCGTAACGTAGACAGGAAACGATTGGCCACGTCCTCCTTCCACTTCAAGCCAGAATTTATAGCAAAAGATCATGCTGATTTGGCTTAAGGTGCACTGTCTGTGATCTCCTGCTTTAGATGGACACTCTTTCACCAAAGACGTGTCTTCTTCAGCTTCTTCAGTGCACTTTGATCTGTATTGTCTACGACACCCATATGCATCTTTTATAAATCCAATATTAGTTTTGGTAAAAACATGCATTTGTTTTCCATATTTATGTAAACAGCACATATACAACGTATATTTCTTTTGTATCTTGTATTCTTGTATATTTCTATGAAGGGAGCGCAATTGTCAATCTGAAGCTGATCGCTCAAACATATTCTTTCTCAAATCCTTTTTTTTTTTGTCATTCAAAGTGGATGATGGAACATTCGAAAAGAATAGGGCATAGGACATAGAACCAGGAACTATGCTTGTAACTACAGCTCTAGAGGAGTAGTTGCAACCATACCAGTTTGCGTCATAGCTTGCGAATAGTTATTGAAATGATGAATTCGGCAAATGCCAAATTGATTAACTATGATTGTAGCAAGAGAACTTGTGACCTTAATTGACTAACAAAATGCACCCCAAGACTGTGACTTACTCATTTCAAATTATGGCTTGCACTTCTGGTTTAAGGAACAATAATCCTAACCCTACTTTTGCTGCAGATAGGCTCATTTCTAAGTTTTGGGGTTATTCATGGTCTACTTAAATAATAATTTGTTAACTGTAATGCAAGCTGCTTTTTGACATTCTAAGAATGAACTGTGTGGAGAATAATAGCACAAAATTGTACCCAGTTTTCACTGATTGTTTACAGTTCAATGAAAGTGCATTATGCATTTATGCACAGCATCATAAATAAAAAGGTGGACGGAAAACATTTTCATACCTGTAAAGGAGTCTGGCCTGTGCCCAATTGCTCTGATTCCACTTACAGATCATGGTGTCCACATATGAATACTCGCTTTCGCAGGTAATATTTGCGTTAAACCTTCCTGGAAAAGAGCAGATTTGAAATTGTCTAGCTTTTCAACAAGCAACATTTTATCCGCTGTCCTCAATAATTGATAAGTCACCTTCTGTGTATATTTTGGCATAGGCGATGGAGCACATAGATTTCTCTCCCAATGTGAGGCAGCACATCAGAGTGTCAAATCCTGCTTTGTCCATCTTTAGAGTGACTGTGCTGACCTGCTCATTGATGACTCTGTACTGGCTTTCTGGTATCTTCATCTTGCCGTTCAGAAACCACACGGCTTTACTGGCGCTCCAGCTGCGGTTGTGGAACACAGAGTAAACTGTCACCTCTGACTCCTGCGTTGTGAAGACTTCAGCAGGGATGTAACTGACTTTGAGGAGAAAAACAGAATAGAGGGCCATTTAAGCCAGGGGTGTCCACACTCTGTCCTGGAGGGCCAGTGTCCTGGAGAGCTAAGTTTCCACCTGAATCAAACACATCTGACCAAGCTAATCAAGCTCTTACTTTGTATACTAGTAACTTCCAGGAAGGTGTGTTGAGGCAAGTTGGAGCTAAAGTCAGCAGGACACTGGCCTGATTTAAGCAGACCATTTGCAAGAGAAACGTACAAATGAATAAATAAATACAAATATGTGAAATAAAACTATGCAAATAAAAACAACACAGAGATATATAGGACTAAAATGTCATCTTAAAACTCAAATAATTGAGAAGAACATTGCTAATTATATTTTACATAAACTTTTTTGACACATTCAGATTTGTCATTAACAGTGAAACATTTCATTACAATTAAACATATTTATCTTCAAACTGACAAAATTTTTTGGAAATTCCTATTATTTATAATTGTGATTCTCATAAGATTTTCATTATTTTAATACTGTTCGTTTACAGTGCTTTACTATAATTACTGCAGTTAAATGTTTGAAGCATAAATTACAGACACAACAAATACTAACAATATAAACATATTTTAAATATTACTTAATATTTCATTTATTCATTCATTCATTTTCTTCTCGGTTAAGTCCCTTTATTAATCCGGGGTAGCCACAGAGGAATGAACCGCCAACTTATCCAGCACGTTTTTACGCAGCGGATGCCCTTCCAGCCGCAACCCATCTCTGGGAAAAAAACATCCACACACATTCATTCACACACACACTCGTACACTATGGACACTTTTAGCCTACCCAATTGACCTGTACCGTATGTCTTTGGACAGTGGGGGTAACCAGAGCACCCGGAGAAAACCCACGCGAACGCAGGGAGAACATGCAAACTCAACTACATCATAACTATTATTGTTATCATTTTATATTTTTATATTTTATTTTATTTTTGTTCAGATTTTCTGTACCATTTCAATTTACCATTTCTGTTCCATTACTATTTCTTCCATTATGACATTATTTTCATGATAATTAAGCACATTTCTCCTAAAGTTATGAATATCATAACATATTAGGGCTGGACGATATGGTAAAACTGCAATCTCAATAATTATTTTCCATATTGAACAATAACGATATATATTTTGATGGGAGTTGGTAATGCTTTCAGATTTAAGAGTGTCCTAACAATGACTGAAACTACAAAAATTAGAGGGTCCATTAAATAACATAACATATTTTCGGCCAATTAACTTGTCGGTGGCCGAAAATTTGCTAATCTCTAATATCAACACATTTTTAGATTCCCATTGTCGTACATTTCTGCTGTGTGATTGATCTTTCTTAGATCAATATAGAGTTTGAAAGTGCAGAACTTATGATTGTATTGATATCAATTTTATCGTGATTCGATATATTATCGTTTATTGGCCCAGCCCTATAACATATTATTTATTAATGTATATTCTGTCTTTAGCATAAAGATGTTTGACTGATATGACATGGACATGTTTCTTCTAGATGTTATAGGATTCACTCTATTGTTTTTATTTCACCCAACCCCTTAATCATAGTCCCTTGCAGCAAGTAAAAAGCATTTCTTTTTTATATATATAATGGTAGAGTACAACCTGAAGCTTAGTTACCATGGTGACTTGTGCAGCACAGATTCTGAAAATATACAACCTACCTGGACATCAGAGACACAATTGCCTTTAAAAGCTTCAAGAAAACATTCAAAATAATGGGTGCTATGTGTTTAATGCAATGAAGCAGGAAATCTGACACTGAATGAATCTCGCATGGCTGTATCATTAGGTTAAATCAAGCTTAAACAGTTGAAACATTAACTTACATTCAGACAGTCAAAAGTGCAGCATTAGTCAGCAACACTGTTTCTCACTGGATACTACACTCAACTGACCTTATCCAAGTAATAATAGTCAATTTATTACACTTTATTATGGACATTTAAGGTTAGACAATGCAGGCAATACAGTTTTTTCAATTTACATTTTGTATTACACTTTTGCTATTTTTTAGCTTATTGGAATAGAAAAAAATAGGATAGGATCCAAATCCCTCCTATTTTGAGGCCCACCGCAAGGTGGCATAGGAATGCTGTGTCCCCGCCCACCAAATTGATTGACAGCCGCGTAGTAACATGTCTTTATAGTATAATCATATCAACAAGACAGGACGTGCGCAAAGCAATGTGATCAAGTTAAGAGTTTAAAACGTTTTTAAAACAGTACATGTTTGTAATTAATTACACCGATTTTACTGTCTTTATCACCACAACCGCATGTCAGTACAATAATAACCGCAGACGCTTCAATCCCATTTTTGTATATTAACATGTATCTTGTCACATTTGCCATGGAAAACCAGTGCAAAGTTAAACGCGCGATGTGTGTGTGTGTGTGTGTGTGTGTGTGTGTGTGTGTATATATATGTGTGAACTTTGTAACGACATTGTGTGTGACTCATCGTTGCAGAAAGGCTTGAATAACCTCCACAACAAATACATTAAACTATCATTGGAAAAGTTCTTTCTTTAGTATTTCTCACAAACGTTACGTGATGTTCACATTCATGTCTGTCACTGTGCTGTTTATCTGACGCAGCCGGAGATTGAGGCACACTGACAAGCACGTGGGCACAGTGGGCGTGGAGAATTAGCATTAAAGGCACAGGCAACAAAAACAGCTACAGTACATTGTGTTCAGAGCAGAAAATGCCAAACTTCAGATGGGTATAATGAATGATCTGATGGGTGTTTTGAGCTGAAACTTTACAGACACATTCTGGAGATACAAAAGACTTGAAAAAGGGGTAAAATAAGTGCCCTTTAACAATGGAGATTCATTTTAAAGAACACACCTGAATTGTCAGAGGGATGAAGTATGCTCTTACATAGTTTGCCTGATTGTATACATTTTACTCTACAAAATGTTACTTTAACTTTTTTTTTTTGACTGTATATAACAAAGTATTAAAATAATTAAAAGACACAATCGAAAAAAAACATGTATGTCCCAAAAGCGTCTAAAAAATGCAATGAGAAGTTTGAAACCGACTTTATTCAATCACTGGTTAAATTTTCTGCAAGAAATGTACTGTATGCAGACTAGTGCATAATTTGCTTCATTTGCATATTTAAACATAAAAACAAAACTTGTAATACATTGCAATTCTTATACTGTAATCAGTCTACTATGGAAGTATGGTGATAACCATTTCTTTTACCTTGTTTACCTGCAGTGTAATGCTTTAGGAAAGCAGTAAAGAGAGAATAATAAAAACATTCACTTGATTAGTTATTTTGGCTTAGTCCCTTTATTATTCAGGGGTCACCACAGTGGAATGAACTGACAGCATGTTATCCAGCATGTGTTTTACACAGCGGATGCCCTTCCAGCCACAACCCAGCACAGGAAAACACCCATACACTCTTGCATTGCAAAATTTAGCTTATTCAATTCACCTATAGCACATGTGTTTGGACTTGTGGAGGAAACCGGAGCACCCGGAGGAAACCCACGCAAACATGCCAACTCCACACAGAAATGCCAACTGACCCAGCTGGGGCTCAAACCAGTGATCTTCTTGCTGTAAGGCGACAGTACTAACCACTGTGTCATTTTCCTACGGCTTAGTGTCTTTATTCATCAGGGGTCGCCACAGTAGAATGAACCACCAACCTATCCAGCATATGTTTTACACAGCGGATACTCTTCCAGTTGCAACCCAGTACTGGGAAACATCCATACACACTCAATCACACACATACACTACGGCTGATTTGTAACTAACTTCAATTTTATGTTTAAATATGATACAGTAGCAATTGCTTCAGACATTTGGTCACTTTACAACCTCCAAATATACATACAGTACTGGGTGCTCAACTTGAACAAATGTTTTATTGGCCGGAGACCGAACATGGTGCCAAGCAAAAGACTCATAACATGCAAATAGGTGCTTTGTTAGAATTAAGTAAGCTTTTAACAACAACTGTTTACAAGAACGAAACTAAAATCATTATAGTAAACCCAATGATGACAAGGTAAAAGCACTCAAGGGCTGTACAAACTATGCCTTTAAATGGATCATGAAATGGAGAATAACAATGTTTTGGATATTTACGGTACACTCATGAAACTGTATCACTTCTACAACACAAAAAAATGCTCCATTAAATAACCTTACCAAACATCAGAGCTTTACAAATGCATGAATAAAATTCACTGTTAATGGCCTGTCAGAGAAAAGCAAAAGTGAACGTTCTCTGTGGTAATTATGTGTATAGAAACAATGATGACTATAGTAAATTAGACTTAAATGAGTTCAAACTAATGAGCTATTTCATCCATATTCAGAAACATTTTTGAACTGCTAATTGAATTAAATCACACACACACAAACACACACTCTTTCTGATAGAAGTAATGATACTTGATGTGTGTTTTTATATGGTAAATTAGCTTTAAATGAGTAATAACTAATCAACAATTCCATCCATATTCATAGACATTTTTATGCTGCTAACAGAATTAAACCTTCATACAAGCACACACAATACTTCTGTTATTGCTAGAGGTGATGCTCATTGCTACTGTGTTTTTCATAAAGAATGAAACTGAAGATGAGTTTTTAAAAATACTGGACTTTTTAGATGCTAAAAACTTTGCAAACTTAATCATCTAATCTTGAGAAATATGGGTAAAGTGCTACATGACCCTTTAAAAAAAATAAATGAGTCTAAAAAATAATTAAAAAAACATTGTGTTTTTTTTACCATTACATGTGCAAGACTTTTTGAACATATATCTAGTACCACATTATATTTGTTAAATATAAATAGATTTTAATGTTGCACAAACACTATAGACCATTTCACGGTGGTGATGTCGCTGGCTCTGAACATTTCCTAATGAAACTATTTTGGAACAAACTATACTGATCATCATGATTTTTATATTTTATTCAGAACAATACTATCTGAAACTATTTCAGAACAAGTGACAATGTAACAATATCCTAATGTTAAAATAGCTGCCATAACATTTTTTATCAGTATATGGAGCTTTTTGGATACTTGGAGGCAATCGTAGTTCAAAATGTAATACAAGAAATTCATTAAGGCCATTGTTATTGTTTACATCCCTCAAAATGGTCTCAAACTTTCCTTCTAGTAATACGCGGAGGAATATTGAATATTGAAAGGAAAATTTATAATAACACACTTTTAACCCTTTAACGCGAACGATTTCACTGATGTGATCTGCACTGGCTGTTCTCTGAAGCGTACAATCACATTGGTGTGTTTAGAATGTTTACTTTAGTTCACTTGTATACACGCTAGAGAAGCGCTTTTGCAAACCAGTGCGGTTGTGTTGGCATTTCAGTTACTGCAAACTCAAGAATCTCCCCATGCTGCATCAATGGTAAAATAATTATCACAAACGTGTTAAATGTGTGTTCGTAGTTGTGTAAAATAATGTGTGTTTTCGATATATAAAGTTATTTGTTTTGTGAAGCAAAGTGGCTCTCGGTTAATTTGTTTTTTCAAATTTATGCTAATTTATCTGGATGAATCAATAAATAATCCAAGTCAATCATTTCAAATGTCGCGGGACACAGAACATAGACTCAAGCAACTTTGCCTTGCTTGAAACTTGGGCCCGGTTTCTCAAAAGTAATCCACTGGGATTTTGGATAAGGGATTGGATCAAATCTTGAAAATGGGTTTTTCAAAAGAAAAAACGGATTACATAATCGGATTAGATCCCGTAATCCAATCTTGGTTTTGATCTGGATCAAATCTTTAGTTTGGGTTTTCCAGACCTTTTTTGTAGGATTTGGATCACTTTGATCCAAAAAACCTGGATTAAACTGATCCCATCAGAAGGGTGGATTGAGTCTGGATTTCAAGCCCAAAATGTAATGAAAACTTACAAAATGTATCAAATAATACTATATTTGGAACATGTATTATCCTACAAGATATCCTATTTATTCATAAGGTTTTAATTGTATTTGTTCATCCGTCAGGCTACAATGATTAAGCAGGCTTTATCGTATTCAGCCTTTCAGTATAGGCCTACATCAAAGTAAAAAGAGTTTGGCCTCATAAAATAATCCCCCAAATAGCTGTCAAAAATGACCAAAAACAATAAATTTTATTCTGTCACTAATTGATATATATATTCATCACAATGGAAAAAATTTTTTCCTTTTTTTTTATATTTATTAGTGATGCCTGAAATGATTACAGAATAAACACAAAAAATGCAAAGAATGACAATGACTGATTTTTAAAAATCACCTTCAACAATTGCAAAAAGAGACCCAAAGGGCAGAAGCACAGCTCATCTGGCAGAGGAACAACAAGGCCAGACTTGAGATACGCCTCCTAAAGGCTATGCTCAGACAAGCTGGTCTCTCCTCATCAGATGAGGAAGTCTGAAAGTCTGAGTTTTTGACATTGTCTTTTTTTTATTCAATACATCTATATTTGAAACTTGTTATAAATATCCACAATGTACAGTGTTTGTGTTGTAGGTCTCAGATGAGCGGACTGCTGGAAGAGGATGGGGTGGGGTTTTCTTGTTTTTAGCTTTTTTAAATGTGTGTGTTTTCATTTCAAATAAAAATAAAGTTATATTGACCCCACACTGGCTGTTCCACTTGCTGCTCTTTACATATGTATAGTTCTACATTGGGATTTCCTATCCCGTTTGAGCACTGGTAATCCAGATTTAGTGATCCTGAAAAGTTCCTATCCGGATCAGATTGATCCAATCCAATGTTGCTTCAAAAAACTGGCTCAGATTGTAAGCTAGATTACGTGATCACGGATCGCAAAAACGAGATTACTAAATCTGGATCAATTTTTTAAACCTTTTGAAAAACCGGGCCCTGGAGCTAGAATATAGTCTAATTAAAGTTAGTTTCTGTGTGCGATTAACACAAACTCAACAGTCCATTTAAGATAAGATCTCAAATCAAGCCAATTCTGCACGTATGAATGGATAAATCACATATGAATTGGCCAAGCTGTGTATTATAGATTTCAAAGTTATACAAATAAGTCATGTGTACATGCAATATATTTCAAAATGTTTCAAAAATGGTTTATATATGAATCTGATGATATATAGCCTATATTTTTGAGGTCCATGCAACATTTCCAGATTTTGACAAATAGGTGACTATTATTTACTATTATTACTATTATTGTTACTAGTATGACGAAATACTTTACATTTAAGTACAGCAATTTTCTTTTTATTTTAATAACAGTAGCCTACCATTTTCAATTAACTTTTAAAAGCATATTTTAAACATTGACTTTTTTACCTATAACCACAGTACAGACTTTTTAAATTATTTAAAATGATTAAAGTAGTTGACAATAATAAAGATTTTAATAATAGGAATTAATCTGCCTCATCATTATGGTGGTACTTGGAGTTTTTTTTCTGAGGTGGTACTTGATAAAAAAAAGTTTGAGAACCACTGGTCTATTGCACGATGCGTATCTCATTTAAGAGAATAAGTATGCAAATATGCTATACCGTGCAATGTTTGACCTCGTCTTGCAAGCAAATGGCATATTAATGCTTTCGTAAAACACTGAAAGCATCGTAGCATCGTAATTAAATAATTCAAAAAATTGGATGCAAATCAAAGAGACTCTGTAAGTGCATAGCAACCAGCAAAAGCTACACAGTGTCAGAGTAGCAAATGAGAGTAGATATGAATGTAATTATCAAACATCAAACTTCTAAACTGAAGGCTTAGAGAAGACAATGGATCTCTCTGAAAAATAAATATAACTGGGACACCAAAAGCACTCATTTGCATGAAGCCTGCTGTACACTAAAAGCAGCTTTTAGACTGAATGACGTTTATGAAAATGCGTCGACCTGTGCACTCTATTACTGAGAACAAGAGGCTGTAAATCAGATGTACAAGAGTATATTAGGCAGCAACATTTTAAGTACCCTTTCACAAATGTCAGCATTTACATATATTTACTCATTCCCTATACCTGAAGAGCGGGATGAACAGTAATGAATGATTTAAACTAATTCATTCAAATCTGTACACAAACGACGTTAAGTATAACGAAAGATTATTCTGTAAACTTCATATCCTTACCATCTAGTTTGAAATAGAAAGGTTGGCTCCATTCACTCCAGTAGCCGAGATGGTTTTGGCAGCGCACTTGAACCGTGTATCTGATGTCAGAACTGAGCTCATTCAGAGCAACCCATGAACGACCTTTGACCTTCAATACCTAAAAGAGACACAGAGTCATTCACACAGTGTACTATGAATTACTTTGCCATAATAAGTGATTTTAGTCAAAGAAAATTATTAAAGGTGCAGTAGGTGATCTGCCAATATATTATTCGTTACCATAACTTCATTTAAATCACAGTCCCTTGCCTGCAATCCAAAGCCACGCCTCCTGAAATCATGAATGCGCACCTTAAAGGTGACAGTACACAACCCACTAGATCATATTAGAGAACTTTATAGTACTTTATAATAATACAATTCCGAATGAAAAACTGTGTTATATCTAGCACGTTTTCAGTTGTGTAGCAAGCAAAACTGATGTGCAGTATTTCATGCACGCAAGGATCACTGGTCTCCCTTTTGTGCTTTGTCCTAAATTGACAACTGTATGCTTAGTGCTTGGCCAGAAGGTGCAGGAATTACACTGATTACTAAGTCATACTTGCATGCTATTTCAGACCGAATATTCCAAGCAGCATCGTAAACAATATAGGGAGCGCATCACAGGTTGCTCACAGATTGTTCAAAAATGAACCAATGTGATGTGAATATAAAACCAACTTCACCTCAGTAAAGCAGGCTAGGCGCAATAGCGCTATTTACTTATGTTTTGTTGTTAAACTAAATTAAATTTTCATTGTCAATGTTGTAAAAGGTACCCTGTAAAACTGAAAATATTCACATCAATATTTCGCTGGAACAACACTTCTGTGCATATAACCCATTCGTAAAACAACAAAATCTACATAAGCTTTGCGTCACTAAAACATCTTTAAAACATAACATTACCTGTCTGAGGCCCCATTTACACTAATATGTTTTAGTTTTAAAATGCATACGTTTTGCTACGGATTTGCACCGAAAATGAAGCATTTTGGAAATGCAGAAGATGATGTTTTCATTCTAAAATGCTGCTGCTCCGTCTCAGTGTGGATGGGGGAAATGAAGACATCTGAAAACGGAGGCAGGACTGCAGACATTCGCCTCTCTGATTGGGGCTTTTTCTCAATATTAAGTAGCCTATAAGCAGTTCAGTCTTGCATCCGCTCCTTGTAAGTTCAGACTTCACAAGTTTGATGTGAAAAATAAACTCACAAATACACGTCGGTTAAATCCTCAGGGAACAGTGTACTTTATAACCTTATTCACATCGCCCTGGCTACATTGTTTGACTTTCTCAACAATAAAATGAAAACATGATTTAAGGAACTGCTTTTTTATTTGATATTAGCAACTTAACAGACAGCAGAAATGTTGAGGTGTCGTGCAGCATATTTATATGAGCGTCATCTTCACTGTATGCATACTCATAACAAAACGGAACCTATGCCTCCTTTCATTTTCATTGAAAAGACGAAACACACCCTCTCTTTTGCTAAATATCAGTTTTAAGAATCAATAATGGCCATTATAAAAGTATAACGTACAATAAGTTTATACATTAAAGGAAATAAAGGAAAGCAATCAGTCAACATGCAGAATGTACTTGGTTACATTATTTATTAACTTATCTTTGCGCTCAGCCAAAACACATTACCTGAAAGAACAAGTAATAGATTCAAAAGACCAAAGTCGGGTAATATGTCGTTACATATACACAGCAAGATGAATAAAATATCACGATTAACAAATATAGTGAGATTGGATCCAGCGGTAGATCCTTGACGAACAGTCCGAAGAGCACAGCTCTCGTCTGGGTAGATATGCTGCAGCGCTTGCCAAAGTGTGTGGTTGTGGTCACGTGATGTGGGTTTTCAGTGGTGTGGTGTAGAAGGAGAGTTGTTCAAAAAAGCTGGGTGAAACGTTTTTATTCTAAATTGCTACAAAGTAAAATAAATGAAAAACTTATGTGATTTTGTACAAGTGAAGCATAAGCACACATTGCTTTGCATCTTATAAACACAACCAAGCCTTAAAATTACACTCTGGACCACCTCGTTAACATACCGACTGAATCTGAATAGTAAACCCTTTGGTAATCTTTTACCAAAGGCTGTAATTTTGCAACTACAATAGTGGGTAAAAGTGACATTTGGACTGGTTTGTCCTTCATTCAGATATACTCAGCTGAAAGTTATGTTAATGTAAACTTTCTAAGCATATTTGTGTTCAGCGAATGTAAATGTTTTGTATGAACTCTGCATTTCAATGCTTTCATTTGTTCAATGCAAAAATTACTTGTACAGTTTCACATTTTTGTATGCTTGTTTCCATTGACAATTAAACACATATTATGTGATAAGCTGAAGTATGTTATTGTTCTAACTGGCAAACATTTTCCTTCACTACAGCAGAATGAACCTCCAACTATTCAAGCATATGTTTTACGCAGCAGAGGCGCAACCGAGTGCTGGGAAACACCCATACACTACGGCCAATTTAGTTCATCCAATCCGCCTACATCGCATGTCTTTGGACTGTGGGGGAAACCGAACCACACAGAGGGAACCCATATGAACACGGGGAGAACATGCAAATGCCAACTAGCCCAGCTGGGACACAAACCAGTGATCTTCTTGCTGTGAGGCGACAGTCCTAACCACTGAGTCACCATGTAATTGGCAAACATTTTTATTAACAATTACTCGTTAAATGATCAATTTTAATACTTATTCTGTCAACTTACTTAACTTATTCCACATGACACGACAACCTCAAAACATGCAATTCTGAGTTTGAATCACTCGAGTGAGTGGGCTTTACAAACCACCTTTACAAAACACACTCTTTCATCTCTCTGACACTATAACTGACACTCGGTTTCACACATTTGCACCAGACACTTTCTTACAATCAACCCATATCTTTAAAAATGAACTCTTTAATAAAAATTTAAGAAGTGTGCTTCACACAGGTGAGTGGGCCTGACAAACCACCTATAGAAAACACACTCTTTCATCTATATGACAGTTTAACTTTAACTGACACTCAGTTTTGCTCATTTTCACCCGACACTTACTTACAATCACCCAGTTTCTCTAAAAATTTAAGTTTTAAATTAAAAATTAAAAAGTGTGCTTCACACAGGTAGGTGGGCTTGACAAACCACCTATAAAAACACACTTTTCTCTCTAAAAATAATAACACTCCCCCCTCCTATTTAATGCTCTGAGCTAAAGTAGTTCCTTTGTATAATTAGCACCTCTTGTGTGTATTGCCTCTTCTTATTGAATCACTGAATGTCTCCTTCAAAAAAGCATCTGCTAAATGACTGAATGTAAATGTAACTCAACCAAATATACTTGTAATACTCTAATGACATGTATTTGCAAAATGACTTGTGGTCATCAGAATCTCTGAGGAAGACAATAAAAAATCTAAAGTTTACTTGAAGCATGTGCAAATCAATGAGACTGGTAAAAAAAAAAGTGTTCAAAAGAAAAAGTTTACAAAAACTTACAGTTCAACATGTTAGACATTTAGACATTTATATATATATATATATATATATATATATATATATATATATATATATATATATATATATATATATAATAAGAGTGTCACGATCCTCCAAATCCTCGATTCGATTGCATTTTCAATTATTAAGGCACGATTCAATTCGATTTTCGATTATGAATAATTAATTAATGACCAATTAATTATTTGTAGCCTACCGTTTAAACTACCTGACCTGCATGGTCTTTGTTTTACCCATAAACAAATCATACAGTAAATGAATAAAGGCAAGATACACACATAATTACCACCTGTCAATCACTTTTTCTCCGGGACTCGTGAATAGGCAGTGATCTGTGGCGTTATAATGGCGTCGGTAAAAAAGACGCACAACCAACAGGAACCAGCCAACAGTATCTGAGGTGTTCGCTAAAATGACAAAGTACAAGTGAGTGAAAGATTGAAGCAGTCCTCTGACTGCCTGGACCTGCTGTCTCGAGCGCATGGCTGTATGTGCGTCTGTGTCTGTGTGGTCACGTGATGTGCATTTTCAGAGGTAGAGTTGAAGGAGGGCTGCTCAGAAATGCTACACGCCACTGTGGATGTCAAATCGTTGTCGTTCTAAAATGCCATTTAAAAACAAAGACAGTGTAAACAGGGCCTGAGTGTGTACTTTTCGCAAGCGGATTTGCAATGGGGGCGGGCGGAGGATTGTGATGCCGGTGTTGTCTATCGGACGAACCGTACGTAATACATACATAGCAGAGCTTGCAAAACTGTGTTTTTTTTGTCGACAACACGAACGTTGTCAACATAACTTACTGGAAATCCAAAATGCTTAAACACTGGCGACTTCATTGAAAGAGGAGAGGGTTTAAGTTCTCTCGACGGGTCTCCTGCTTCTGCAGTTTAACAAGCACTTCAACAAACCTGTTTTTTTCCCGCTTGGCAAGCCAAGCTGACGTGACATGGGGGCGTGGCAGCATCGACGATTCTATTTTTTAATTCGATAATCGAAATTGAGCATAAATTTCGATCGATAGCGATTAAAAATCTAAATTGTGACACCCCTAATATATATATATATATATATATATATAAATATATATATATATATATATATATATATAGTCACTCAAAATATATGTAAAACAGAAGAACAGTCCAAATGCAATTGTCATATTGCGTGTTTGTGTTGTGCATATGGCAGAGATTCTAATTCTTTAGAAAACCTGCAAAAATGTCAGTGAAGTTCTGTGTCTTCAAACACAATTCTTACAAACATCACAACACATTCATTACACCAACAAAAGAGACCAATTACCTTCCACTGCTGAAGCAAGGAATTGGATGAGTATTGGATCTCATAGTTTATAGTGTTGTTGTCAGGTTGTGTGCCGGTCCACCTGAATATAACTTCCCCTTCTGTCGTCACATTGTAATGCAGATTGACAGGTGCGCCAGGTCTTTCTGTGAAAGGATGGAAATATACTAATTATTAAATTGTAATTATTTGCTAACTGGTAATTAGACAAAGACATTCTTTTATATAAATGTATATTATTTTATTTGTACACTACAACAAGGCAGTTCTACTGCAAATCTACATATTTCCAATATAAAACACTTTTATGATGAAATGAATACTTTAAAAAGGCCATGAAGAGAACCTATTCTTTGCCATAAAAGTGAATTTACTGAACACAAAAGCCTTCTACCTTTAGAAGACGATTACACATGATACTTAGAGGTTTTTGCTTCTGAACTCTTCATAAAAAAACCTCCTCTGTATTTATAATTATATTATATTTTTATATAGACCTGCTTAAGTACATAATTTGATGACTTTATTTAAGATCACAATGCAACCCCAAAATACTAATAAATTATCATGGCCACACTTTACAATAAGGTTCATTAGTTAATGTTACTTAATGCATTTACTAACATGAACAAACAATGAACAATACATTTACTACAGTATTTGTTCATGTTAGTAAACTTTGGTTAATGAAAATACAGTTGTTCATTGTGAGTTCGTTAATTTAAGGTGCATTAACTAATGTTAACAAGCATGAGTTTGGATGTTAATAATGCATTAGTAAATGTTCAATTATGATTAATAAATGCTGTACAAGTGTTGTTCATGATTAGTTCATGTAAGTAAATTCATTAAATAATGAACCTTATTGTAAAGTGTTATCAATATCATTTTATATTTTTATGCTTTACCTATGTCCTTTAGGCAACTAGGATTAATCGTTTTTGTCAAAAAGTATAACACTTCCAAATTTGTGGTGTTATTTCAACACATAGAGGTTTAAAAACAATTAAAGACTGTCTTGTTATTTTGTTCTGTCAGACATTAGTCTATCTAGAACATAACCTAAACACCTAAACCCCTTGCTTTAATAGATTATATTATTTATTATTATATAAAAGCACAGAAATATGTTTTATTTCACTTTTAGCAATACATTTAATATGATTCAACTACTAGGCAGTCTTTTAAATGCACATTTTCAGTTTAAACCTCTACCTAAGAGACAGTGTATTTTAAAATAAATTGCTCCTGCTGTTGCAGTTAATATAAATGGGTCTATATTGATTGGAGATTTTATTCATTTAATGAATTACTCTAATCTTTTCCAGCTTTTCAATGTATCTCAAAGATAAGAAAAAGGACACCCTGTTCTTTAAAATGAAATCTAATAGAATAATTCAGCCACGTTTCAAACCACTTTACTTTCTTTGTCCCATGAGGAGTTATTTTGTGAAAAGAAAGTAAACAGTAGCCATACTAGTCAAACAAAAATTATTACAATTTATTTTTTTCCTTAGAGTAAATTTTTGTAAGATCTCAGAAGAATAATAACATAGTAAAAGAGTGTTATGGATTTGATTTATGATATATATATATATATATATATATATATATATTTTACTGTATAGTGCTATAGTTTACTGTAAATCAACAAAAGTCACAGAGGTTTGGAACAACAGCTTCTTTGTATAGCTGTGTATTCCTTTAGAATTTGATTTAAAAAAGGCTAAAGTGCTTTTGGGTTGGACATCTTGTAAGTCATTAAACCGTGTCATTTTAATCCACTGCCTGGAAAATCACTTGAGAGAGAGAGACGTGTATTCTTCAGCTCTTAGTGCCAAAGAACAAACACACCCCAATAAAACACCTGTTTGCTCTGGCATCGGTCTCCATGAACTCAGGCTTTTAGCATGTGGTTCATAGAAACAATTAGGCTACAATTATCTATTTACAGGTGACCGTGAAGAATAGTTTTGTAAATGACTGCTTTAACTTAAGAGTCAGTAATTTATGCGAATGTATCGCCATGAGATTTTACACCTTTTTTAGTAAATAAGAACAAATTATTACAGCCATCCTAAACAAATAAATGTGCTATTCTTAAGTTATCAACATAAAGTACTTTAAACCAATAACATATTTATTAAATAATCTTGATAAAAATTGCTTTATTGAAAAGTTAATTTAAAAAAATAGTAAATAAGTTTTTTTTGTAAGACTGTATGACCTGTATATAAAAAATATGAAATACCAGAATCAGCCGTTTGTTCTGCCAAAAGTAAACTCAGCAGTAAACTCTGTAGTTCTAGCAACTTTACGGATTCCAAAATAAACATGTGCGGGAATAGAGGAAATGAAATATCTGGTTTCATGTTGATAACAGAATGGAACTTCCTTTTCCTGTTAGTTTTCATCTGAATACAATGATAGATAGATAGATAGATAGATAGATAGATAGATAGATAGATAGATAGATAGATAGATAGATAGATAGATAGATAGATAGATAGATAGATAGATAGATAGATAGATAGATAGATAGATAGATAGATAGATAGATAGATAGATAGATAGATAGATAGATAGATAGATAGATAGATAGATAGATAGATAGATAGATAGATAGATAGATAGATAGGTGGATGGATGGATGGATGGATGGATGGATGGATGGATGGATGGATGGAGGGAGGGAGGGAGGGAGGGAGGGAGGGTGGGATGGATGGATGGATGGACAGACGGATGGATGGATTGATGGATGGATCAGTTCTCACGTAGTTCATATGTGCTGACTTGCATCTTCTGTGATTGTGCAGTGGTCCCATTCTCAGATATAATTATAACTAATGAGACTGTTGCATCCCCGCCGTGAAGAGAAACGGAGCAGATGGCAGTCTCTTCTCCAACACACTGAGCAGTGGAATTTGCTTCATCTGAATGTACATCCATCTGTACACTAAAATAAGAAAAAAAATCAATAGTTAATAAGACTTAATTAACACTGATAACATTACACTGAGAGTCCTATAGAACAGAAGTAGCAGACAGTTCATCACATGAAATTTGAAATCAGCACCAATCTATTTATCTCACACTGATAAAAAATAGAAATCTGATTCTTTATTGATGAGCTTGATTGTTTTTAAAAATTAAAAGTTTTTTAAGCGGAGATCACAATTCTATCAAGCTTCTGAAAGTTACATTTGCTTTTAATTATTTAGCAAAAAAAATTTTTTAAACCCTTTAAAGTATAAAAAATTAATAAACATAATAAACCACTTTAATAAATAATCAGATCAGATGAATAGATAAAAAGCATAAAAAGTGCCTGTATTAATGAGTGACATATTGAATATTAATTTAACATTAACTAAAACTTATTTCTTTTTATTGGAGATTCACACAAAATGTTAATTACTGCAGTATGCTTATTAATATGCAATTCATATATTTTTTTTTATTAATAATGAATAATATAGTCCCTCATTCACCTAAAAATACTTTTATCATACCTGCATGAATCAGCATTTTAAACCAATCGCTTGAACAAATATTTCAATGACCAACACAAGTTACTTGTAGCTACCCACTGGAGAAATGGCAGAACTGATATATCCTTTATCTGAAGCCTCAACTAAATTATTTTCTATATTGTTTGTACTTTTCATTTGACTATGACCATTTTGATAATATATATATATATATACACACACACACACACACACACACACACACACACACACACACACACACACGCACACACACACACATACATACATACACATACATACATGCATGCATGCATGCATACATACATACATACATACATACATACATACATACATACATACATACATACATACAACAATTTTTTTACTTGTTTAAGTTCGATTTGTGTTGTGACAACATGAATGAATTGTGTGGAACCCTGCATTTTTTACAGTGTAAATAGTTGAAGTCAAATTATTAGCCCTCCTGAATTAATAGTCCCCCTGTATATTTTTTTTCTCCAATTTCTGTTTAACAGAAAGAAGATTCAAACACATTTCTAAACATAATGGTTTTAATAACTTATTTCTATAACTATAAGTCTGTATTGTATGAGTGTGTGTGTGTGTGTGTGTGAATGAGTGTGTGTAAATGTATCCCAGAGATGGGTTGTGGCTGGAAGGGCATCCACTGCATAAAAACTTGCTGGATAAGTTGGCGGTTCATTCCGCTGTGGCAATCCCGGATTAATAAAGGGACTAAGCCGACAAGAAAAAAAAAATATATATATATAGAGAGAGAGAGAGAGAGAGAGAGAGAGAGATTTTGTGCGATTAAAAAGATACAAACTGAAGCTGTTTCATACCTATACATTATAATTGTATCTTTGAATCTATAAGTCAGCAAGAGCACGAATACAGATTTAAATATTTGCCATGATACTGATACTGTAATTAGCTAAACTGTAGTTATTTTGGAATTTGATCATGCAGATATTTAATTCAGTCGTTTTGACAATTAATGGTTCAGCCATTGTGGAAAACGTTAAACAAAATATTAAGTAATAAAAAAGTTGAAAGAATTACAGACAGAACAGAGTCTAATAGTGTAGCATAGAGTAGAATAGTATAAAGAAGCAACACTGCACTGGCTGCCATTTATCCAATCATTAGTCAGTGGACAGCTGACTGAAAACAGAAGACTCACACTAATTGATGAGGGCTGACGCTGACCAGAGTGGAAGCTGCTGCTGCTCTACGGGTCTTTGCATTACAAATCAAATTTTCCCGTTCACCTTCAAGCCAGCACAGGATGTCCAAACAGCTTCCTGAAAAGAGATTGCATTCTCTTGTTAGTTACTTTCATGAATCATCCCAGCCCGTTGCAATTAGAAGCCTCAATAATTCCTGTTAGAATTCAGGACACAGCCTCATTACATGATGTGAAAATAACATGAGGATACAAGCGCGATACTTTGAATCGGAATGAAACATCAAATATTAAGTCTAATTGAGATTCTGGCCAGATCTTTTTTTTTTTTTTTTTGATGTTGTTGTTGAAGTTTTAAGCTAAGACCCTTGCAGGAATCCAAGAACAAAATATCTGGGGAATGTTTTATGAATGCTTTATAGTGTTACAAAAAAAAAAATCTACCTCTAAGTATTTGTATCAATTCTTTTTCTGTTTTTGAAGAGCCACTTCACACGTTGGATTGCAAACAAACTTGTTTTGCATTTAAATGCTATATATTTAGTTGAGGGCTTTAATCACTGCCCCGAGGCCCACCACCACAGTGAAGAGAAAGTAATGAGAATTGATTAGCATGTGTAATGGCACCCATCTACTTGTCTGGAGAGGTCAGTCCTTTTTCAGCCACTCTGATTTCTCTGGTGATCACTTAAAATGCAAAAGATTAACGCAAAAATGCCTTCCATTTATTTTGTGCAACACTGTCCAAAAGTGTGGTGCACATATTAGATTAAAATGCAGTCAAAACAGTAACATTGTGAAACATTATATTATGATACTGTGAAACATTAGTTTAGAGAAGTTATTTAAATAAAATGTTTTGCAATTTCATAATACAATACTGTAATTATTCATAATATCAATGTTTTGAATGTTTTTTAATCCGATAGTTTTTTATACACGTCATAGCAAAGCTAAATTGTCTGCATTAATAGTCTAATCTTCAGTGTTACATAAAAAAAATCATTCAGTGTTGATTTGATGCATAAGAAACATTTATTTTCAATGATGCTGAAAAGAGGGGTTCTACCTAATATAATCATAAAAACCAAGAATATTTTACTGAAATATATGATAAATATATCATTTTCATTATAATGTAAAAGTCTTAATCACTTCTAGGAAATTTTATATAATTTATAATAATACTGTATGTAAAACAAACAGCTGATAACCATCAAAATCCGCTCATTATGAAATGCTTTTGTTTCTAGTCTACACAAGAAAACATTTCAATGAATTTCAATGTATTGAGCAATTCTCTGACGTCAAGTGACGCAAAATCTGAAACAAGCAAACGTATATTGTAGGAGCTAACAGAAAGCCAATAAAGACATTACCGTGTGGAACAAAAATCAATCCCATATTAAAGCCCTACTTCAATAAAAGCGCACTTAATTAGAAGGCAAATAATGTTACTACAAATTTACGATCATGTACAAAACAAACAGAACCGTTATGCGATCACTTAACATTAATTAATAAATGAGCAAAGAATGTAATATCAGACTTAACCAGAAAGGGTGTGTGATTTACCAAAAGACTGTTGTTTTGTAGCATTTAGCAGTTGGCAGTGTTGTTCGGGTGGGTGTTCTGAAAGACCACTGTTAAGCGTCTGAACAGGATGATCACAACACAGGAGAGCTTTCCACTTCAGGTCTTCGTAAACACCATCGCTGACTCCATCAGAAGGATTCAAATCTGCAAGGCCTGAAAAAAACAGGATCTCAGAGAAAACAATCAAAATAAGCAGAAAAACTGCCTGTTATCATAAAAAAAACATTAATTGATGGATTCAGTTCTCAGAAATGCTCAGAACATTTATCTAAAAGCTTCTCAAGGTCAACACAACTTATGTAGGTTTGTAACATAGTCAAGCTACTGTATAGTGCATTTCTAAATAAATATATTTTAGTTTAGGTGTTAAATACCGCATGAAATTGCAAAAGACATGCACTATAGGTAAATTGTGTACGCTAAATTGTCCGTAGTGTATGTGTGTGAATGAGTGTGTAAGGATGTTTTCCAGTGATGAGCTGCAGCTGGAAGGACATCTGCTGCGTGAAACATATGCTGAATAAGCTGACTGTTCATTCCGTTGTGGCTACCCCAGATGGATAAAGGGACTAAGCCGAAAAGAAAATGAATGAATGAAATTGCAAAAATGATGACAAAAATAATGAGGTCATTGATAAAGCTTTACAGAACAATGCTCACATTTGCCATTGGTGGATAAGACAGAAAGCACTGCCGCCAAAGTAATGACATTAGTTGAGTTGCTTTTATTTTGTGGAGCTGGTCAGGGTAATCAAATAAAAAATACTGCCAGTTTTTACAATTTATTTTAAAATCAACCAAGAAATCGCTTACTCACAGTCTTTCATAATAATCAGTGAATAATGAAGAGTGGTGAGCTGTGAGCTCTGAATGTGCACTCAGATTTGAAGCTGAAGCGAAAAAAATGGAAGTTGTTGTTGTTGTTGATTTATTTATTTATTATTTTTTTGCATAAAAAAAGTATTCTCGTAGCTTCATAAAACTATAATAGAAACACTGATGCACATGAATTGACCAGAGAGCTCTTGGATTTGATAAAAAATATCTCAATTCCAGTTCAGTATAAAAAGAAGGTCTTACAGGGTTGGATGGAATGCACCAATATTACATTTCGGGTAAACTTGGATAAGAAGATAATTATTTTTTATTAAATGGCAGATAATATTATTATTTTTTCTGAATAAAATTAAAATACATAAATTAAAAACTGTTTAAAAATGAATTCAAGAACTGTCATCAAATTATTTAAAATTATGTTTTAGTTTACCACAAAATATAAAATCCTGTCATCACTGACTCACTCTCAACTCATTCCAAAGAAATCAAGATTTTAATTCTTTACTTATCTTTAGCCATTTTTAGAACATTAGTAAAGTTTTTTTCTGTCCCACAGTAGATTCCCTCAACAATGTTCTTAAAAATCCAGTGTTAATAAAAGTCTTTTTAAGAGGTTGCTTTTCATGATGAACAGATTTATTTATTGAACAGAACTTTTGTTGACAAAAATATTGATCAGTAAACAATGAACAGAAGCTCAACCAAACTTGCCTAATGAACAAGAACAAACCTCATTGGCTCTTTCAGATCCTCAAACATCCCATGAGACACCTAAAAATGAACTTAATTGTTTTTTGTGCATCAAGCAAGCATGCCTGAGTTACCATGACTAAATAGGAATGTTGTAAATAGGGATGAACAGAATTTTCGCCTGCTGGAAATTATCAGCCAAAAAATGAAAAGGAAAACATGTCCGAAAATATGAGCTTAAAAAAGGCTATGCTGCACCACACTGACTTTCAAACTGGAAGCAAAAAGTTCTGAGCTATGAAACCCATTTATTTCAATGGCTTGGAACAGATAAAAGCGGTTTGTTGCTGCTCCAAACAAACCATGTGAGTACTAGGGCTAGTTTGTACACTCCACGGTCAAAAGTCAAAATGAATTCAATATTCCATTCTGTGAATATACCGCTTCTATACACATATACTTAAACAATAAAATTTATCAAATGTGGTTATTTCATTAGGTTGTTTTTAAAAACTGTATAATTTAAGTTATTGAGAAAAGGTTTAAAAGTCTGACGACAAAACTATTTACTGTTTATTGATCAATATTCATATGTGAATAAATAAAATCTGTTTATTAAGTTTAAGGTGAAAAAACTACAAACGGTCAAACAGAAATTCGTAACATTTTATAATATTTAAAAAAATATCTTAATTTGTACTTCAAATATGGTTTTGTGGGTTTGAAATGATAACGGTATGTCATGACATGATAAATTGTCATATATAAGACTTTCAGTGTGAACTAGCCCTTTAAGTAAGTGTTAGCTGATCATAAAATAATCTAAAAGCTAATAAATACAATAAGTTTTCACAATTAAATGCGTAATATGGATTACTAAAGATACAGTTGAAGTCAGAATTATTAGCCCCCCTTTGAATTTTTTTCTTTTCATCATTTCCCAAATGAGGTTTAACAGAGCAAGGAAATTTTCACAGTATGTCTGATAATATTTAATCAGAAAAAAGTCTTATTTGTTTTATTTTGGCTAGAATAAAAGCAGTTTTAAATTTATTTATTAATTTTAACCATTTTAGGGTCAAACTTATTAGCCCTTTTAGGCAAATGGTTTTCCAACTGTCTACAGAACCAACCATCGTTATACAATAGCTTGCCTAAATACCCCAACCTGCCTAGTTACCTAACTAACCTAGTTAAACCTTTAAATGGCACTTAAAACTGTATAGAAGTGTCTTGAAAAACATCTAGTCAAATATTATTTACTGTAATTATGGCAAAGATAAAATAAATCAGTTATTTGTGATGAGTTATTAAAACTATTATGTTCAGAAATGTGTTGAAAAAATCTCCATTAAAAGGAAATAGGGGAAAAAATAAACGGGGGTCTAATAATTCAGGGGGGCTAATAATTCTGACTTTAACTGTACATTTGAAATATTATTGAATAGTCAAGAACTGATGCATTGTGCATCCCTATCCACAGACAGGTTATTCATATAGCACACTTCATACACAATGGTAATTCAAAGTGCTTTACATAAACAAGAATAAAAGAAAATAAAAAAATAAAAGAATTAAAAATGATTAAAACAGATTCAAATGTAAATATGTTATAAAATAATAAAAAAGTATATAGTGCGATCTGTCGGACACAGCACAGTGCTCATTCAGTGAAGGGATAGCTAAACAGATGTGTTTAAGTATTGAATGTGCCTAATGTTGGAGCACATCTGATCATTTCTGAAAACTGATTTCAGCAGCGGGGGGCGTTGTAGCGGATTCACAATGCTTTGACTGAACTCTTGGAATGATCTACAGTAAGTGATCTGTTAGGTTTGTATTCAGTGAGCATTCAATGTTTTGAGGTCAGAAACTACAATATTATCTGAAGCACACATCACCCTGGGTTGCCAGTTTCAGTACTGTTACCCCGCAGGCCCGTGGCTCTTTCTCATCTGTACATCTGTCTATATGTGAAGCCCCTGAGCGACCGTTAAAAGTTTATAGTCTGATTCATGATGTGGGTGTAATCACCTCCCTCTTCCACCCATTACTTTCAATCTCCCTCTCTCTCACTATCTCTCCGTCTTTGCCTATCTCTCTGTTCATTCATCAGCCTCCTGCCCTCTGTGCGCTCAACCATAACCCACACTAATGCGTCTCTGAGGTGGGCAGAGGGACTGCTGACAGCTGGTAGGTGTCCAGCGTGCTTTGTGGGTCTTTGACTCGACAGCAAGTGGGAAATGAAAAACAATGAAAAGACACAAGAAGGCCGGTCAATATGCCAACAAATGCTAAACACAGATAAATACAGATAAAAAGAGGATGCGTAATCTTTGCACAGTAAATGTAAATGACTCACCTTGTGAAACGGCAATAAAAATCACAAGCAGTGCAAGCATGATGAAGACAGACCTAGGAGGACAAGAGAGGACATCTGAAAAAAACATTCAGGATGGATATGACTCACTATATTGTTCCATGCTGGAATGGTCCGATCTTTAAGCTTAAACAGTGTTCAGTTAAGTCATTAAATGACACAGTCCTATTTTAGTGAAGCATGAACTAAAAGCCATTATGTTTTGGAATCTGATTTCAATAGTTTTTGTTTATATTTCCCATTGCATCAGTGTCACTATGGCATTACATCAGTGTGTTTTTCCATATACAGTATGTATTTGTCAGGAAGAAGAAAGACTAATTTGTCTGTCATAGATATTTACATTAGATATCACCTACGCTATTAGTGTCTATTGAAAGGAATGCCTCAATAGAGCCAGCATTTTAGTACAGGTTGCGCTCCTTTGAAATGAATATGGGACCAAGGTGCAATGGAGTACAGGCCATCCTATCTGATCAGGAGTTTTTTTCAGTGGTCAGTATGCAAATCTTTTTTTAAATAATGAAATTTATAATTAGACATCACTTTTCTACATCGATGGATAAGTGACTGCCAGAGTTAATTTCATTGAAGAAAAAAATGTCATCATCATTTTCGCGACAAACAAGTTTTTATTGATGAAAACTAGACAAAAACGAAATAAAATTGTGATGATGATGACAACTATAATAAAAACATGCTGACATTTTCGTTGACTATTAAAAACAAGATGAGAATGTGACATTTGGAAAGTAACTGGTCTACAGTAGACGCTGGATGCAATTACTTCATATTCTATAGGGACGTCTGTCTGATTAAACTATGTATAGATGGCAACAGCTGAGAGAAAAGGAAGATTCACGTTAGATGTCAAGACAAAGAGACTAAACTTTATGGGGAGAAAATACCTGATAAAAACAATAAAACTAAAGCAAATTCGCGCAAATGTAAACTTGGGTCTTTTTATTTAACCAAGTGTTTGCTTTTGCTTAACTGAAACGGAATAGCCTTTCACTAAACTACATTTAGTCAACTAAAATCTTATGAAATTTAGTCGACTAAAACTAGCCTAAAACTAAACGGATTCAAAAGACTAAAATATGACTAAAATTAAAATGGAATTTTAGTCAAAAGACTAAGACTACAACTAAATCTAAATTTGCTGTCAAAAGTAACACTGGTGACCGCACAGGCATTACAGACAAAGAGCATGTGTTCGTGTGATGGAAATGTATTATCTCCCTCCCTGTTAAATTTGATCTAGTCCATGTCCTTGAAACACACTCCCTCTCTCCTGCTTTCGCATCTCATGCTAACAGAGAGAGCGATTCGTTTTTGAATGAATCTTCATTACGAACGACTCATTCTCTTGGCTGACAATAATACAAGTTTCGAGGACCGCAGCATCTTGTTGTCAAATTTCATTTAGATTTTTTGCTGATTTTATTCAACCAAACCAGCATCAGCCTACTATTTGAGTTGCTGCTACTTTCCTTAGGATCAGCGCACTGTATTATCATCAATACTTGTTGAGCACAAAAGTTTGTAACATATAAAATGTAAAAACTAAATCTTACCTATGAAATGTTCTGCCTTTATGCTTTGTTTTCTTTGTTTGCTCATTACTACACCTGTACACAGCGCTAAAGTCCAGCATCTTCACATTGGCTTTAGTCTTGACTAGTGCGGTTGAATGACATTTGTCCTGGGAGCACTGTACAAATGTGGCGTGCTATTGACGCATGCTCAGGGTCCGTATGCTATATCTAGTGCAGTGGTTCTCAAACTGTGGTACGTGTACCACTAGTGGTACGCAGGCTTTCTTCTAGTGGTACGCGGATGAATCAAATATGTAATATGTACATGCTACATATATTTAATAAATTATCAAAAATGATTTATATATGAATATGATGACATTACGCCTATATTTATGCGGTCCAGGCAACATTTCCAGGTGCTAATAAACCAGGAGTTATACTATTATTATTTTTTTACTTTTTAAGTACAGTAACCTACCCTTTTTTACTTTAAAAGCACATTTTAATTTAAATGTACTCAATAATAGGAACTAATATGCCTCGTTTTTGTACTGTACAGAGCTTAAGCTGTTTTACTAGACCTAATACGCTACTGTATTTCAAAACTGCTCATTATGGTGGTACTTGCAAAGACCACTTTTTTCTGAGGTGGTACTTGATGAAAAACGTTTGAGAACCACTGATCTAGTGTATATATCTTTGTTTGTCTGTGAGCATGTGTGGAAGTCCACAGATTAGATATTAAAACTGCAAGGGTTTAAGATGACAGTTGTGTTCGTTTAGTTTATAAATGACTCAGTTGTTTTTAATAAATCATTTAAATGGGTGTTTAAATTAATCTCTCGTTAATAATACTTCACAGATTACAGTTAATCCAGAACTCAGCAGCGAGGGTAGTCACCCGCTCACCTGCTTCTGAATACATAACTCCAATTCTCTTTCACTTGCATTGGCTTCCTGTTTTTTATCGTGTACAATATAAAAAATTTGTATTAACTCACAAAGCTCTTCACAACCTGGCATCCGATTATCTCTCTGATCTTCTTCACTGGTACATTCCTCGGCGCTCACTGAGATCTTTTGTGACTGAACAGTTATCAGTTCCAAATTTTAAGATGCAATCATTTGGTGGCAGGGCTTTTAGCTGCAACTGTGGCCACAGTTATGGAATTCCCTGCCGTTAGATATTCGTCAGGTGGACTCTATCTTCAATTTTAAATCACAGGTTAAAAACTTTCTGTTCAGGATTGCTTTTAATGATTTTCTGGATTCATATTATTTTTATTACTGTCTTGTTTTTATAATGTGCCTGTGACATACTGTAAGGTGTCCTTGAGTGCTCTGAAAGACGCCTATAGATAAAAGGTATTATTATTATTATTATTATTATTATTGTTATTATACTTAACCCTCGCTGTTTTATTCTATATAGATCTGAGAACATTTCTTCCAAATTTCAAATAAACCATTATTCACAATGGCAACTGGTCAAAATAACAAATGTTTTCATTTGCTGTGGTTTCAGGGATATTCCACTAAATATTGATTTCTTGACTGAACTAAAACATTGATATTGTGCTGCCTGAAATGAATATGACATAAACATGACACCTTTTAATATACTTTAAATGACAGCTATTTGATATTTTGAAGGAATGTCATCAGTAGCTTACAAAATAAAACCAAAAGAACGTACAGGAGAAATTATGTACAAAGACAGGAGAATGTGTCATCAAAACACCATCCAAAAACAGAAAGGAAAAATGTGAAATGTGTGAAAGGGCTGCTCTTACACACTCCACAACAAAACAACTCAACCAAATTACTCCCACAAATGCAAATTCTCCCTCATTAACCATTATGTAATGAGTAATCAATAAAAACAAGTGGCATATGGAGCAATGCTAAAATCCATGTCCTCATAAAATCTAATTAGACATACTTACATCATTTCACTTGCTCGTCAGCATCATTTCTCTTCTTGATGGGGAGTCTGAAACGAGAGACCGAATAAGATAAGAATGTTAACAAGTACAATCTCTTTTGGGGAAAACTTTTATTACACAATTCAACTTGAAATACGTTACTGAAGTGAAGGAACACAGGCATAGATTGAGTCTCTAAAGGGACACAAAAGTCATTTCTGAGTCACTCAATGGAAAATAAAGCAGGCAAAAGTTTCTGGCACACATTAAACGTATCAGACAGTAATATGACACCGCTTTCAGAGTGAATTACCTTACTCTGATTATATTTGCTTTCTGTTGGCTTACTCTTTCTGACGAAACAATTCACCTTTCTTGTTCAAGTCAATGACAAGCATGACTGCTTCCCTGAAATCCATTTTCTCATTTACTGGATGTATTCAAATTCAAAATGCTGAATTAACAAAGTGTAACGTTGTTTTGATAGTGTACCGGCACAAACCTGTCAGTGGCAGCAACACCCATGCATTTCCTGTGTTTATTCTGAAACACATTGTGAAATCTAAAACCTGTTTTGCTACCATGCTGCAATAAACTTCTGACCAACGGCATGGCACAGTGAACAAAGAACATGCATAACGATATTTGAAATGCTTCATTGCCTGCCTTGCATTTAGCATATAAAACACTACAGGCCACATAATGCAATGCTTTCCCCACCATATGTTAGAGCTACCTGGAGTTGCTGCTTAACTAAATAGGACAACAATAAGGTCAATCTGACAACAAAAAAAAACAGATCTGATGTGAATATGGAGAGAAGAGGCAAGTGGCCATTCACTCCAGTAAAGTCTTTTTCCAGGAAGGCCCTTGTGATAACAGATCATATATTCATGTAAAGATATCAGATATCAAAACAGCTTTGATTATGTTCAAGTTGGTGTCAACAACATAAAACCAAATAGCCGCTAAAATGAATATTAACTCAGGCCAAATACTAGATCTCAAAACGGAACACTCGATTTGACTATTGCAATGAGAATTGAAACGGTGATATAATGAAGCCACTCAATGGAAAACAGAATCCAGATGTTCTGGATTAGCATCTTATGTTTAACCCACATGTGATTATTAAAATAAATGGTGCAATACTGGGCAAAAATAAAAGTAAATCTAATGGATGTATTGTTAACACCTAACTATCCAATTTCAAGTGACAAACTGATGATAATTAAAGAAAATAAAGGCTCTCCAAACGTTTCTTAATTGATTACTTTTTTAATGCCAATGTGTGAAGAGATTGTTCTTTAGCTAAAATAAACTTCCTGGGTTGTGTGTGAAAGCCTGTAGACTGCTGTTTAATATCGATCTGTCACGGCATGAAAGTGATTCATTCAAACTATAGTCTTACATAGCCAGATCTATAGTCTGTAGTCTTAAATATTGTTTATAATTCAACCATCGTAACAATTAGTCTGATTACAGCATCTGTTGACATGATTTTGTATGCTTGGAAATGCAGATATCCATAATCAGATGCTTCTCAACTTCTGAGTCTCACTGGGCCATCAATTCTAGACACCCAGATCAATAATCCAATAATGATAATGATCCAAAATCTCCCTTAGCGTAAAATGTGAATACTATCAAAATTACTGACAATTTCTCCTGCGTTATAACACTAATTTAATATTAATTTTGAGTTTTATTTTCTCACTGATTCACTGTACCCAGGACTTGGAGGGACACATGTAAAAAATAAATCAAATAAATGTTACAAGAACTTTTTTCCACATTTTAAAACAACTGTTTTAGTGAAACCGTTAAATGTGCCAACAATTAAACTAAAATTAACAAATAATTTAAGGGAACAAATTATTAATTATTTTTTCATATGTTTACAGACACTGGAAGTTGTGGTGCCCATTAATATTCATTCATTCATTCATTTATTCATTCATGTATTTTTTTTTTTGGCTTAGTCCCTTTATTAATACGGGGTCCGCGGGAATTAACCGCCAACTTATCCAGCATATTTTTGCACAGCGGATGCCCTTCCAGCCACAACCCAGCTTTGGGAAACATCCACACACACTCATTCACACACACACTCATACAATACGGACTATTAAGACTACCCAATTCACCTGTACCACATGTCTTTGGACTGTGGGGGAAACCAGAGCAGGGAGCAAGGGAGAACATGCAAACTCCACACAGAAAGGCCAATTGACCCAGCCAGGACTCGAACCAGCGACCCAGTTCCCTTCTTGCTGTGAGGCATCAGCACTACCTACTATGCCACTGCGTTGCCGTCTATTAATTTTCAAAAGTCAAAAAATAGAATGGTGCATAATGTCAATTCATTCATTATTTTCTTTTTGGCTTAGTCCCTTTATTAATCTGAGGTCGTCACAGCAGAATGAACCGCCAAATTATCCAGCATATGTTTTACACAGTGGATCCCCTTCCAGCTGCAACCCATCTCTGGGAAACATCCATTTACACTCATACACTACCGATAATTTAGCCTACCCAATTCACCTGTACCGCATGTCTTTGGACTGTGGGGGAAACCGGAGCACTCGGCGGAAACCAATGCAAATGCGAGGAGAATATGCAAACTTTACACAGAAACAGCACAGTCACCACTGCATTTCAGCCTTGACTGAATATAATTATCTCTAGTTAGATGTCCGAAGAGACTGACCAAGCTGATGCTCAACCAACATATCTGACAGATAAGAAGGTGACAGGCCATTTAGAGATTTGACATAGCTAACATCAAAAATCATTTGTGGGTTGCTTCAAGATTTTCATATGGGTTTATATTTTGGATTTGGTAATATGGTGTGGTAAACATGACTTGATAAACTTCTTTCTTCTACAACATGCACAGTTTGGCACACCAAGCAATCCTAGAGTTGCATATTATGTACATTTTTAATATGAAACAGCTTCAAATTTTACTTATATAAAGGTGTGCCATAAAGTAGTATCATAAAGTTATGTTCAACACAAGAGGATAACACAACTTTAAAAAAAAAACTTAATGTGCATACTGCAGGAAAGTCTCCAGAAACCCCATTTTGAATTATTCCTCTGGGTTTTAACAATATTCCTGCACAAAACTATTTAGAGTACTTATAACTAGAGCAGCCCCTCAGAAAATCATAATCAAATACGGCTGCTCATCACATTTACTATATCAAAACAGTATATACAGTTTATTAGTATTTGTGTGTGTTGTACACCTCTATCTTTGAATGTGATACTTCAGCACTGTGTGAAATATGGTAAGTAAGGGATGGTTCTAGAAAAAGATTTTGCTGGTTGTTCTCCACTTCACATCAGGCTGCTGATAAGCCTGTCAGCCATTATTCTGAGAAAACAGCCATCTGGATGTATGTTGTCCTGCTTAACATGGCTACTTGCCACAAATGTAAAGTGCTAGACACAAAACATTACTCTGTGCTGTAAAGGTTAACTAATTCTTTAATTAAATGTAAAGTTTGCAAAAAGAAAAATGGCTGGGTGCAGCCTACACTAACCTAACACGATAGGTGCATCCCAAATCGTATACTTATGCACTATTCTATTCACTATTCTATTTTGTAGTATAAATAGTTTAAGTAGTGCATTCACACTGAAATCTCTAAAAATAATAAGTGAACTTTAATTACCCGGATGATGCACTCATTCAGCCGGTAAAATAAAGTGTGTAATGATGGACACTTTACTCACTCAACGACCGCAATTTTGCTCACGTAGCGGAAGGGGCGGAGCTATCGGCCGCACATGTTGGATAACTTTAATTTTTTTGGATTGTGAAAGCAAAATTCTCATACGAGAGTGGTTATGGTGCCTCCCGGTCCCGATGGTGAATGCGGTTATACTCATGACAGGTATTCTTTGGTAGTTTGGTCATTTATTTTAATAATCTGGCAACCGTCAAACATCATCAGGAAAACAGTTTGAATTTCCGCTTAGTAAAAGACATTAGTGTTCCATTTGGGACGACACTACACACATATACTATGCTGTTGAGTGTGTAAATGCATAAATACATGGGGTATAGTGTACCATTTAGGACACAGCTGATGTTTGACTATATTCGCTAATGTTCAGGATTATTTAAAGTACCTGGATGAGCCTGTGTTAATTTCAACATTTGACTTATGAGAATAACATACTTTGGAATTTCATAATTGACCAATGAGAACAAACTATTCCAGAGAGCCGTGTAATAATAGCTTTTATCAACTGCTATTAATAGACGCATCCATCTTGGTTTTCTGACTTGTTAACTGGCACTTACTAACAAGGACCATCTAGCGTGCCTGTAAAGTCCACAAGACCGATGTGTGTCCCATATTCAATTTTAGCTTTAATAAGGGTTCTTGCTAGTGCCTCCATTGTAGCCGCTATGCATCCTGGATGCTCACAGCTGAGCCTGCACTAAGGCGACTTAGCAGACTTTTGCACAACAATCAAAGTGACATTATATCACAATAGAATTGACTTGGATGATGACCATGAGGGTTTAGGGTGCATTTTGTAACATGGCTTTCCACATTAGTTCACAAGTTTGTGAATAGAAGTAAAACAAGGAAACACATAATGGCAGCATGTCTGATGTAATTTGTCCAAATTTAATTTATAATTTATCCCACAGCCAATATAGTACTTTTAAGTATGAAAGTTCAAAGCAGTGCATGCTGTAATCATTTATGTTTGGTGAACAGCTCTTTGCAGACTCATGGGTAATTCAACAGGGATTCCACTGCTAAACATGATCATTTTAAAAAGTTTAAAGAACTTTTGATGGGTTCAACATTTCCATACTGACTAACATTCTCAAAGAAGGATGTGTTTTTAAAGAATTTGATGCTAACAATCCATGTTTGCTGTAGTTTTGATATAAAACGTTTAGCAATATCAAACATCAAAAGTAGTTTTCTCTTTTAACTTTTAACTCAAATACTAATTTCACTCCATAACCGTAAGACTCAAACTATCAGTTAATTCTTCCCTTCAGTTCAGATGAATCAGAGAGACAAGCGCCATA